TGGTGGCTTATACTTGTATTCCAAACATTTTGGGAGACCAAGGCAGGAGGATAACTTGAGGCCAGGAGTTCAAGACCAGCCTGGGCAACATGGTAAGACCCTGTCTCTAGAAAAAAATTTAAAAATTAACTGGATGCGGTAGCATGAGCCTGAAGTCCTAGCTACTTGGGAGTCTGAGGTGGGAGGATTGCTTGAGCCCTGGAGTTCAATGCTGCAGTGAGCCATGACTGCACCACTGCACTCCAGCCTGGACAACAGATCCAGACCCTGTCTCAGGGTAAATAAATAACTAAATAAATACAACTGAATTTTAAGTTGCCATATTACATGATAATTTTTTAATGCATGCAATTTATATGCTTTCATAATTTGCTAAGGAAATTAACTCCTTACTTTCCTTTTTAAATTTTTTTTTTACAATTTTTATTATCCTTCTAATATACAGAACAAAGTATATAAATTCAAACTATCAAGTTCTGGTGAAGAATAAGTTACGTTTTTAAAAATTATTCTTTCTTCATACACTAAAAACATAAACTATGGTGCCCTAGGAGTCATTTGGGCCGCTTTCCTCTCTGTTATGACTTATATTCAATCAGTCACAAAATCCTGCCAACTCTTTCCTTCTCAAATGCCTCTAGAATCCAATCCTCCACTCCTATGGCCACCCTCTAGGCAGGGCCCTTATCACACCAGGCTTGGTTTGGCACAACAGACTTGTACATACAGCATTTACTATCGTTTGCCAGGTGTTTCAAAAAGACTACTAATCAATCTTATGCAAGAACTATCTTTCCATCTTTGTATCACTGCAAATCTGAACAATGTTTTTTTGTGGCCAACATCTACTTAAAATTTAATTTTAGGTTCGGGGGTACATGTGAGTTTGTTACATAGATGAACTTGTGTCATAGGGGGATGTTGTACAGATTATTTCATCACCCAGGTATTAAGCCCAGTACCCAATAGTTACCTTTTCTTCTCCTCTCCCTTTTCCCACCCTCAACCCCTAAGTAGACTCCAGTGTCTGTTGTTCCCACCTTTGTGTTCATGAGTTCTCATTATGTAGCTCCCATTTATATGTGAGAACATGTGGTATCTGGTTTTCTGTTCCTGCCTTAATTTGCTAAGGATAATAGCCTCCAGCTCCATCCATGTTCCCACATAAGACATGATCTTGTTCTTTATGGCTCCATAGTATTCCATGCCATATATGTACCACATTTTCCTTATCCAGTCTGTCATTAATAGGCATTTAGGTTGATTCCATGTCTTTACTATTGTGAATCGTGCTGCAATAAACATTCACATGTGTCTTTAGGGTAGAATGATTTATATTTTCCTGGGTACATACCCAGTAATGGGATTGCTAGGTCAAATGGGAGTTCTGCCTTTAGCTCTTTGAGGAATCAGCATACTGTTTTCCACAATGGTTGAACTAATTTATCCTTCCACTGACAGTGTATTAAGTGTTCCCTTTTCTCCACAACCTCGCCATTATGTGTTAATTTTTTTTTCACTTTTTAATTTAATAATAGCCATTCTGACTGGTGTGAGATGGTATCTCATTGCGGTTTTGATTTGTATTTCTCTAATGGTCAGTGACATTGAGCTTTTTTTCGTATAATTCTTGGCTGCATATATATATTTTTTTGAGATGGAGTTTTGCTCTTGTTGCCCAGGCTGGAGTGTACTGGCGTGATCTCAGCTCACCACAACCTCCGCCTCCTGGGTTCAAGCAATTCTCCTGCTTCAGCCTCCCGTGTAGCAGGGATTACACGCACGTGCCACCACACCCGGCTAATTTTTTATTTTTAGTAGAGACAGGGTTTTGCCATGTTGGCCAGGCTTATCTCAAACTCCTGACCTCAGGTGATCTGCCCGCCTTGGCCTCCCAAAGTGTTGGGATTACAGGTGTGAGCCACCGCGCCTAGCTGTAATCTTTAATTAAACAAATATATTCAGTTGGCTAGACCATCTTCTCAATTCGGACTCTCATTCACATTTGAAAAAAGAAACCTGTCAACGCCCTAAATTGTTACTTAATAAAGGTAAATAGTCTTTAAAAAAAATTATTGGCCAGGCAGAGTGACTCACATGCGTAATCCCAGCACTTTGGGAGGCTGAGATTGCAGTGGGCTGAGATCGCACCACTGCACTGTAGCCTGGGTCACAGAGAAAGACTGTCTCGAACATACAAAGTTACGAATCCGAAGATAAATGGTGTTTTCCATGACAATAAATTAGAATGTAGTTTTTTTCTTCTTTTTTTTTTGGTAGAGACGGGGGTCTCGCCATGTTTCCCAGGCTGGTCTTGAACTCCTGGGGTCAAGCAATCCTCATGACTTGGCCTCTCAAAGCATTGGGATTACAGCAGTGAGCCACAAAGTCTGGCCAGAATGCAGTATTTTGAGGTTAATGGCTCTACAGGATATCTTAAAGAAGTCTTCTGGCTGGGTTCAGTGGCTCACACCTGTAATCCCAATACTTTGGGAGGCTGAGGCAAGAGGATTGCTTGAAACAGGAGTTTGAAACCAGCCTGGGAAACAAAGTAAAACTCTATCTCTACAAAAAATTTAAAAATTATCCAGGCATGTTGGCAAGTGCCTGTAGTCCCAGCCATTTGGGAGGTTGAGGTGGGATTGCTTGAGCCCAGGAGGTTGTGGCTGTAGTGAGTTATGATTGCACAACTGCACTTCAGTCTGGGTGACAGAGTAAGACCCTGTCTCTAAAATAAAAAAAAATAAAAAAAAAACCCAAAGGAGATTTATTATAAATAATTCTTGAAAGTAATAATAAAACAGACAGCAGGGCTTACAGAACAAGAAAGGAGTAGGATTTATATTCTTACAAAATTTTACTGTCCACATTGCATCAGTAATCAATAACCCCTTAATTCCCCAGTTTTATTAGCAATTGCTAGGTAGGAATCTGTAGCTGCTGCTCTTAGAATCTTATTAATCAAAACTAATTTTAAAACGCTGATCTTAAAGGAATCAACAACTTACCTTTCTCCGCAATACTATTTTAAAGACTGCATGGATAATTGTGAGTTTACCATGTTATTCAAGCAATATAAATATTATATGAATTGAAAGCAAACTATGCCTGCAAAAACATTTAATAGCAGCCGGGCGCAGTGGCTCACGCCCGTAATCCCAGCACTTTGGGAGGCTGAGGTGGGCAGACCACCTGAGGTCAGTAGTTTGAGACCAGCCTGGCTAACATGGTGAAACCCAATCTCTACTAAAAATACAAAAATTAGCTGGACTTGGTGGCACACACCTATAATCCCAGCTACTCAGGGGGCTAAGCCAGGAGAATCACTTGAACCCGTGAGGTGGAGGTTGCAGTAAGCCAAGATCGCACCACTGCACTCCAGCCTGGGTGACAGAGTGAGACTCCTCAAAAACAGCATCAACAACAACAAATAGTTTAAAAATACCATATATGCCTGAATATAAGTTATATTCCCCTCTAAAACTACCCCATTGAAAAGGGTATGGAATCTTAATCTTATTTTGAAGCCTTAAGCCACCATTATTCTAGGTAATGTCTTTGGGGAAGATACTAGTTTGAAATGACCTCAATTAATAGCAGTTTTGCATATATCTACACACAGATTTTTAAAATACATTTTTAAAAAAGCACATTATTTCAAACTTTGATAACAGGACGACATGCTTTGGAAAACACGGTCAGAGAGCTAAAGAAGTCTCTAATGATGACCAAGAGATTGATGTCAAAGACGGAGAGGACAAAATTATCCTACAAAACATACCCAAAAAGATTCTACAATGTTCTTATATAACATACAATTGACATTTATAATACTTCATCTATATCTCTAATGATTTATATAATCTTACCAAAATATCGTTTTGGTGAAATCTTATTGGAAAAATGAGGCATAGCCTCCTACTTTGCTAGGTTCATGAATGCTTGTCAAAGATGCCATCATTGAATCTCAGCTTATGTGTCATCCATTCTCTAGTCCATTACTTATTTTTTTTTAACATATCACTTCTCATGATACGAAATTACTTAATTATATATGTATTACTTGTCTCCCTTGACTGGAATGAGAACTGTATAAGGGCAGGGACTTTGGCTTGTCATATGAAACTGCAAGCTGTAATGTAGTTTTTAAGAGTGACAGCAAATAGGGATAGAGGTGAAGGCAAACACAGCTGGGGTGGAAAAGATGCTCCAGCAGTTTATTTAGTTATCTAATTGCTATGGTTTTAATGTGTTCCCCAAGGTTCGTATATTGGAAAGTTAATCCCCAATGCCAACATTGTCAACAGGTGGGACCTTTAAGAGGTGATTAGGCCATGACAGCTGTGCCCTCATGAATAGATTAATACCGTTATTGTGGGAATGGGCTAGTCTGTGGCAGTGCATCCTTATAAAGGATGAGCTCAATCTCTTGCTCTCTCTCACCATTTTATGCCCTCACAAGATGCAGCCCCCTAGATCTTGGACATCCCAGGCTCAAGAACTGAGTCAAATACATTTCTTGTCCTTATAAATTACCCAGCCTGTGATATTCTGTTATGGCAACAGAAAATGAACTAAGAACATCATGAGGTCAGTTCCTTGTGGATTGTTTTTAATGTAATGGGTATGTGTAAACCAAGGACCACTCACATTTTTTTTTTTTTTCTTTTTGAGATAGTCTTGTTCTGTTGCCGAGGTTGGACTGTAATGGCACGATCTCAGCTCACGGCAACCTCTGCCTCCTGGGTTCAAGCGATTCTCCTGCCTCAGCCTCCCGAGTAGCTGGGATTACAGGAGCCCGTCCCCACTCCCAGCTGATTTTTGTATTTTTAGTAGAGATGGAGTTTTGTCATATTGCTCAGGCTGGTCTCGAACTCCTGACTTCAGGTGATCCACCTGCTGCGGCCTCCAAAAGTGCTGGGATTACAGGCGTGAGCCACCGCGCCTGGCCCATATTTATGCTTATTATTCAAGAAATACAAAAGAAAAAAACCCTGAAATTAGAAGGAATCCAGTTTATTCAAATAATTCTTCTTTAACAATATTTACAAACAGGTTTTGCTTATAAAATTTGCTCAATTTTAATTTGTTCTAACATTTCGAATCAAAACACACACTTGAGGGAAAAATATTCAATTTTAAAATATTCTGTCAAGTACAGATTTTTTAAAAAATGTAACTGAATATTTAGGTAAGTCTTTAAGAAAAATTAAAACCCAAGAAATAAAAATATCACAAAGACAATGTCAACGGAATCTGGAAGTTGTTTAAAGGAAGAGTCCTTAACTAGAATATTTAACTTTTGGTTTACATATTAGTAGTAGTATTAACAACAAATGCCATAACATTTTACCATAACCAAACATAAACCAAATGACTGAGGGAAACATAAATCAAATGGCTGTTATTCATTTTTGGCTGTTATTTATTTTTGAATACCAGTTAATATTACTGCTTTCAAAGTTGTTCAGGAGTTCTGATTTTCACAGACTATTTACAAATAAAACTGCATGGACAAAATATAAATGTTTTAAAAATATTGTTTTAACTCTATCGTCTTCTCAAATCTCTTATTTCTTTCAGTTACAGTTCTTTGCTTGACCTTCCCTTTTAAAAGGTCTGTATGTTAAGCAGCTTAGATATTCTGAATTCCATCCTAGTTGGTTTAAGTGAGTATAAAGAGGCTTATCCTGCAGAGTCTGTCTTTCTGAATTGAAAAATTAGTTATTCTACACTAAACAAAGTAGAATTATAGTCTTTTCAAAGGCCTGTGCCAGATAACACAAAAAGTTTGCTTACATAAAAAGTTTGCAAAAACACTGAAGCTTTGCTAGTTATTTGTTGAGATTTGGCCAAACCAATTCTCTTGTCACATTTTAGGGCTAACCCTCGAGAAAGGTCTATCCAGTTGTGAGGACTTTATCTGACTAGGATCTTACAGAAAACAGGAACAGCTGTTGAGCAGGAAAGGTAATACATGAAAAGAGACCGCTCAAGACTGCAGTTACATACTATATCCTGTTGCCCTATGATGATTATTACTAAGAGAGTTTTTACTTTTGCAGAAGGTTAAAAAGAAAAATCTATGACAAGAGTACGAAAAAACTATTTGTGCCACATTGCTTAAATTACTGTAAAAAAGACTAACTGCATAAGCATAAACATTATTCTCTATTATTTGCTAAAAAGTCATTAAAAAACTATTTAAATTGTGAAATCCCAAAACAAAATAATCTTCTGGAAATGGCTCTTGTAGAAAACAGCATCGAAATATAATTAACTATAATTGCTTCCAACATAAAAATTTTAAAAATCTCTCCTCAAGGAAACACTGAGAGTATGCAAACCAATTTTTCTTATTAAAAATATTTTACAAGTAGAAACTATAAAATATTGAAATTGAAGGAATTTGCCATATCTGGCATAGAATTGTAAATTATATAATAAAGTGTCAAGCATTATAAAATTCTTGGTTTGATGACTAATGAAAAAAAATCCTGCTTTCTGCTCAAATGGCATAATGCCATCAACAATGTATTGAAACATATCAGAAGCAAGAATCTAGTTTTAAAGATTTTACCACTATTGCTTAACCTTGATCATATTACCCTCCCCTTATAAATTGCATGGAAATAATTCTGGTATATCAGAAGTTAGAAATTGATGTCCTGTGTGATAGGTGTTAAGATTATTTGTATATTTTACAAAGGACCATATGATTTATATTTCCTACCACATTTACACACATTAAAAATCGTTAAATGTTAAAAAATATATAAGTAAAAAAAATTTGGAAAAACTTGTTATGTCTTCTTTATTTCAATAGACAGAAGACTATTTTCAGTGTTGTGGATGAAAGGATTCTTGGTGCCATGGAGCTGGAAGACAAAACACCACAAAGATTTAAATAAACAAATAATTTAGACTAATGGTACATGATAGTATAGTGGAAAGAACCTGAGTTTAAATTACAGCTAAAGAGATCAAAGTGCTTATCTGCCCTTAAGTAGCCATAGGATCATCAGATCCTATGAAAGTTATTTAAGGCTCTCTGAGGAGTGGTTTCCCCATCTGTAGAAGAATAGCATCTCTGCATCTCTCTAAGGTATGCTGTGAAATTAAATGTAATAAAGGACAAAATGTGACTGGGACACAGGGCTCACTCGAGCACTGTCCTTTAGTTCCATTTTCTGGTGTTGAATACAAGCACCACAAACAATATAGCGACAAATGGGTCCAAGAGATTTTCACATTTTTAGGAATGCAGTTCCTGTAAGTGGGAGAGGTGATTTCTGTGGAATATTTACAATCATGATAACTCAAAGATGTGATTATAACATTGCAACTACCTCCTTAATTTTTTTTAGAGTGACTTTTGGATATAAGTAAATGACTATTTCTTTTTCTTTTATTTTAATTGGACTAATATAACCAAGGAGGTAACAAAACAGGATTGAGAGTCATAGCTGGACTTGATTCCAAAGCCATCTTTTTAAATATCACAAATAGCTGAACTATTAAGAACAAAAGAAAGCCCAAACTATGAGAACCTTTCTGAAACAATTACAATCAAGATTTTCTATTTCAGAAATTAAAGTGTCCACTTTAATTCATAGGTTTGTCCCAACTACTATGCTTGGTGTTTATCATTACAGCATCAGCAATGATATCAAATTAATAAAAAAGGAAAAAGCAGAGTCATAGACTTTGTTCCTCTTTACATTTTCCCCTTTTATTTATTTATTCTTTTTGAGACAGAGTTTCACTCTGTTGCCCAGTATGGAGTACAGTGGTGTGATCTCGGCTCACTGCAACCTCTGCCTCCCAGGTCCAAGCCATTCTGCTGCCTCAGCCTCCCAAGTAGCTGAGATTACAGGCATGTGCCACCACACCTGGCTAATTTTATATTTTTAGTAAAGACGGGGTTTCTCCATGTTGTCCAGGCTAGTCTCAAACTCCTGACCTCAAGTGATCTGCCTGCCTTGGCCTCCCAGAGTGCTGGGATTACAGGTGTGAGCTACCGTGTCCGGCCTTTTCCCCCGTCTTTTTATCGTTTTCCGTATGTTCTGTCTTGGGTGAAAAAGTTCTAGCCCTGTGTAAAGTCATTTACTGAGGCAGGGAAGAAAGGGAAAGATACAGAGATTATTACAATACCACCTAATACTCACATCCCTTATGTGAGAAAAGCACACAAAAAGTACTACAGAAGTATGACAGAGATTGTCCTATGGTCCTGTGGGAGAACGTTAAGTTGTTCAACGTGGCTTGAATGCAGAGGTGGAAGTGGTGGGAGATTAGGTTGGATATAGAGGATTGTGTAGCTCTGCATTCCAGGCTAAAGTATTTGAATTTTATCCGACAGGTTATAGTGAATCAGTGATATAACTCCAATGCAGAGGTGCTGATGTAATCAGATTTCTCAATTAGAAACAGAACTATGTCAACAGGCTGCTTCTTGCTCAATTCAGATCTATGGCCTACGGCCCCTCAATTTTTTCCTACATACCAATTTGTAACAATATCCAGGGCTTAGAAACTTTTTAAAAGAAATTCTCTGGGCCTGATGCCTCACACCTCTAATCCCACACTTTCGAAGCCATGGGCAGGAGGATCACTTGAGGCCAGGAGTCCGAGACCACCCTAGGCAACACAGTAAGACCTCATCTCTACTAATATATATATATATATTTTGAGACTGAGTCTCCCTCTGTCACACAGGCTGGAGCGCAGTGGCGTGATCTTGGCTCACTGCAACCTCTGCCTCCCGGGTTCAAGTGATTCTCATGCCTCAACTTCCTGAGTAGCTGGGATTACAGGTGTGTGCTACCCAGCTAATTTTTGTATTTTCAGTAGAGAACAGGGTTTTGCCATGTTTTGCCTCAAGTGACCTGCCCACCTCCACCTCCCAAAGTGCTGGGATTACAGGTGCTCAGCCTCTACTAAAAATTAAAAATGAAAATAAAAATTAAAAATTATTTTTCTGATTTTTGTTTTGTTTTGTTTTTTGAGACGGAGTCTTGCTCTGTCGCCCAGGCTGGAGTGCAGTGGCGCGATCTCGGCTCACTGCAAGCTCCGCCTCCTGGGTTTACGCCATTCTCCTGCCTCAGCCTCCTGAGTAGCTGGGACTACAGGCGCCTGCCACCGCGCCCGGCTAATTTTTTGTATTTTTAGTAGAGACGGGGTTTCACCGTGGTCTCGATCTCCTGACCTTGTGATCCGCCCGCCTCGGCCTCCCAAAGTGCTGGGATTACAGGCGTGAGCCACCGCGCCCGGCCAAAAATTAAAAATTATTAAAAATAATTAGCTGGACATGGTGATGCATGCCTGTAGTTGCAGCTACTTGGGATGCTGAAATGGGAGGACAGCTTGAGCCCAGGAGTTTGAGGTTTCAGTAAGTTATGAATGTGCCGCTGGACTCCAGCCCAGGCAACAGAATGAGACCCTGCCTTAAAAAAATTATCTTGCATTTCTCTGTATAAGATATTAAAAGATGGTTATTTTTTATTTAAAGTACCTTTTATCTTCAATGGCAGAATATTTGGTTGTTAGGGTAATGTTTTCTGCAGGATAATTGTTTTTATATTTTGCTTTAACTCTGATAAATGCACATTTCAATTTCATTAAAACACCTATATTCTAATCATGCTATTTTAGAAGTGGAATTGAGCATTTTAGAAAGAAAAATTTTTATGTTACAGAGCAAACTATCAAGTTCTTCTACCAATACATTTTAATTAACTCGATTCACTCACACCAAGATACCGTATTAGATAACTGAAAGAAAGAGAACGGTTGTTTTATCTAATTGAAATTTATTTTCCCGCTTTAGTTTACTCTGTTTTTCTTCTATCAAAATCATGTATGTTTCATAGTAGATAATCTAGAAAATGCAAGAAAAAATTCTCTACACACCCCAAATTTTTTTACCTGAAGATAGACAAATTAAAATGTTGGTATATTTTATTTCAGTATTTCTATCTATTTCCATATTTATGTAGGTAAGTTTACATGATATAGTTTAAAAAAATCACATCAATAAAAACCCTTTAATGGTTGCATCATATTTCACTGTATCGATTAACTATAAGTTACTTAACTATTCCCTACAGTTGGGTTTTATTGAAGAACACATGAAGGATATATTAGTGATATTGACAGTTTTTTTGCTTGAATTTTTGACAACTAGATTTCCACCCTCTTTGCCCAGCCTATGGGCAATTCTACAAATCTGTACAGAAAAATGACTGCTCTCTCTCCCTCTAACTCATCACTTACTGTGAATTCCACTCACATAAATGGACACAGTTAAAAGTAACAACTCAATAAAGTAGGCATTAAAATGTGAAACTCACCATAAACCCAAGGAACTTCTGGAGGCACATCTCGATTAGGAAGGTAAGGGTATGTAGTTTGTGGTAATGGCTGATGAGAAGCATATTGTGAAAAAACTGGCTGCTGAAAATTATAAGCAGGTATTTGAGATTGAAAATACCCATTCACTGGCACAAAGCCATTTGCTTGTGGCTCCCCAGCAAAATAAGTAAAATATTGAGAGTACAGAAGATTAGAATGTGCGCCCTGGGCACACTGTGCACCCTGACCACTTGCCACTGTGGTCAACAGCCCAGAAGGAGGTGACTGTAGTTCATATGATGTTATCCCTTGGTATGTCTGGGTAATGCCATTGCCATTGCTGCTGCTATAATGATAAACACACCAAGCAGAGTATGGATATGAAGTTCCAAATAAATGCTCAGAAGAATTATATGTTGGGGTACATGCAGACTGTGGAAGTTCATTCCAATATGTGGCAGCATTCTGCATTAAGACTTTTGAAGTTTTGTCATTCTGTTGTTCAGAAAGAGAGTACTCTGCTCCTTGATTCACATTAAGGGTTATATGTCCAGATGCTCCAAAAGTATGCACAGTATTGGGATTCAATGTATTCTTCATGTATTTGTCCTCTGACTCAGTTTCTGCAGGCTGTAGTTTGTTGATCTGCAGAGCAGGAATTTTGTTCTGGATACAAATGGGTTCTGGAGAAGTCACGCATGAGGAATTTTTAATAGATGAATTTACTGTATCATTATCTTGAAGTTCGAAGACTGTGTCATTCATTTCTAGATCAGTATGGATATCTTTCACAAGACAGAAAATTGGCTTTGAGAGCACCGATGCATCAGGCACAAGAGAAACATCAGTTTCTGGGTTTATATCAGAAAGGCAGGAGTTTTGGGAGGGATCTGGGGAATTTTTAAGACATTTCTGCAAAAGTATCTCATGGCCTGGGGAAAATGTGCCATGTGTACTTTTTTGGTCACAAATTGCAAAAGCAGCACAATCTTTCTCATCACTTTTTGTTTCCACAGCACTAAAGTTCATATTTCTTTTCCTCATGCTATTTAAATTTTCCTGTTTTCCAGTGAAGTGGTCTGGCGCATCAGATGAAACAGTTAAGTCTATTTTGCTTTCTAACTTTGATGTGCAAGTGTCTTTTGGGTTCTCTAAGGGTAAAAGTGAGCCAGGTAGTGATCTTTGCATTTCAACCTTTTTTGACGTTAAATGATTTCTTTTCAGATTGTTAGATGAACTTGACACTATTTTGTTTTCGCTTTGGGGATGAGATCCTGTAGTCCTATTAGGTGCAACACATACATAAAAATGACTTTAAATATATAGTGTCACAAAATTCTAATGGAAATATATATTTGAAATTGTTATCCAGGAGAAGAGTTCTTATTTATGTTTTCCCATTCTATTGGCACTATACAAGTAACATTTTCCTAGTTCGACTGTCGTGGTTTGGATTTAGATACTTTTCCTACTGAAGATGATATGCTCTACATTTTAAATGTATTTCCAATATTGTAATAAACTATTTTGTGCTTTAGACATTTTCTAATGGAGGCTTTTAAAAGTAGAAAACTATCACTAGTCAACTGTGCAGTGTAGTTTTTTAATTCATACGCCTCCAGCCTGCTGATGATCTTCATTACTTGTAAATAGCTATAAGTAACTGGTAAACTACCAGCTGTAACCCCTGCCTTCCCACCAAAGATTTCTTCCCTCTCTGTTAGAACAGACTAATATGTTTTTGTCTGTTCATCTTTGAGAATAGGAAAAGCAGACCTCCAAAATTTCTTGCCAACTTAATAGCCTTGAAATTATTAGCTAAATTCAGACAGTCTCAAGCAGCTGAGAGAAGCATCCATATGGGAATTGTCTAGAGCCAGACAGTTAATACAGGTCCCTGAGGTAATTTTATATATATATATACACACACACACACACACGTACACACACACACACATATATATGTGTGTATAAATATATACATATATATACACATATATACATATACATATATACATAAATATACATATTTATATAATTTTTTTTTTGACACAGAGTCTCACTCTATCACCTAGGCTGGAGTGCAGTGGCACCATCTCAGCTCACTGCAACCTCCGCCTCCTGAGTTCAAGTGATTCTCCTGCCTCAGGCTCCCAAGTAGCTGGGATTACAGGCACCTGTCACTATGCCCAGCTAGCTTCTGTATTTTTTAGTAGAGATGGGGTTTCACCATGTTGGTCAGGCTGGTCTCAATCTCCTGACCTCAGGCGATCCACCTGCCTTGGCCTCCCAAAGTGCAGGGATTACAGGTGTGAGCCACCACACCCAGCCAGTAATTATATTTTTTGGTGCTTTATGAAATTCTTAAATTATATGAGGAAATACTATGTTGAGAAGGGAAAAGTAGTACTATTTTTCTGTAGTCAAGAAAAATTCATCTTTGGCCTGGAATTCACATATCCCACTCAACAAACTAAAAGCCCTATATTTCACTGAATTCAGTCCCACTGAAACATCACCAGAAATGCGATAAAATAAAAAGTATACTTTCTGAGAACTCAAAGTATATTATGGGAATTGATGACTATGTAGGTTCTCATTAAAATGCCAGTTTTGAAATTTGCTGTTCTTCAAAATGCACGAGTTAAAAAAAAAGTAATCTTATCACTTGTCCTATTTTTAAAAGTCCCTTTTTGGTTTTAAAAGTCCTTTTTTGGTAAACCACTTATAAGCCCCATCAATTCTTTAAGTATTGTATCGTATCTTATAAATATACAAATTTTTCTTTCTCATTCTCTGAAACAATCACCCTTTTCTAACCCTTGGCTGACTTCTAACTATTCTCAGAATATTCTTAACCTTTAAATCACTGAAAAAGCACATTTCACATGACTTTAGCCTTTAATATTTGCAGAATGAAGTTCAAATTCCTTAAGCTGAATTTAAGAATGTATAATTTCAAACAAATTTCTTTTTCCTTAGCTTATTCTCATCCCCTAAGTTACATGTATGATCCAATGACATTATATAAATAATTGTGTTTATTCTAATTGTGTTATTCTAATTGTTATTCTAATTGAACAAAATTGCCCAATTTTGTTCAATTTTTTTTTTCCACATAGGGCTGATAGGAACTCCTACCTTGGATGCTTGAATGTTGCATTTTCTCTGTTGATTTTTGTGACACCTTTCATGTCTACCTGTGTTTAAAAGATACAAAGAAAATCTTCATTAGTGATGACAAACTGTAATAAAAGTAATTATTTCAATATTAGATATTTGTAATTGTTTGTTCGACCATCATCTAAAGTTAAACTCATTAATTATCACTTCCCTGCAGAAAGTAGTGACTCTCCTAGACTTCCCATATTTCACATATGTTTGGAGTAACTTTTAAAAAAAGAAATTTGCAACATTTTTCTTACCTTCACATTTTTTTTTTTTGAGACAGTCTCACTCTGTCACCCAGGTTGAAGTGCAGTGGCATGACCTTGGCTCACTACAACCTCCAGGTGCAAGCGATACCCCTGCCTCAGACTCCTAAGTAGCTGGGACTAAAGGTGCCCACCACCACACCCAGATGATGTTTATATTTTTAGTAGAGATGGGGTTTCACCATGTTGGCCAGGCTAGTCTCGAACTCCTGACCTCAGGTGATCCACCTGCCTCAGCCTCCCAAAGTACTGGGATTACAGGCAAGAGCCACCACACCTGACCCTTAAAACTAATCTTGAAGTCCATTTATGACTGTTCCCTCTTTTATGTCCTTTCTTGTATACCAGTTGTGAAGCCCCATCAATTCTTTAAGTCATGTCTGTCAATAAAAATTTTCCTTTCTAACACCTTTTACTAAGCCATGGCTGACTTATTACTATAAGTAGTACTATATACAGTACTACTACGTACTACTATATATACTTCTATAGAAGATGTATATGACTTATATACTCAGAATCTATCTGTTAAATCATTGGAAAAACGAATTTCATATGACAGCACACTTCAATGTGTACAGAATGAAGGTCAAACTCCTTAGGTCTAATTTAAGATATTCCATAACCTGAAAAAACCTTCTCCATCCATAGATTATTCTTACCCACTAAGTTAAATTGTTTCAGACTTAATTTAAAACTATTATATATATAGATATAAAAAAATGTTTTTGAAACAGTCTTACTCTGTCCACCCTGGTTGGAGTGCAGTGGTATAATCCTGGCTCACTGCAACCTCTGCCCCTGTGCTCAAGCAATCCTACTTCAACCTCCCAAGTAGCTGGGACTACAAGTGTATGCCACCATGTCTGGCTAACTTTTTGTTATTTTTAGTAGAGATGAGGTCTCACCATGTTGCCCAGGCTGGTCTTGAACTCCTGGACTCAAGCAGTTCGCCCACTTTGGCCTCCCAAAGTGCTGGGATTACAGGCGTGAGCTATCACACCCAGCTGCATATAAGTTTCTTTTTTAAACTTCTGAACTAAGACGTATTGAACAGCTGTAAGAGAAACCTCTTAGAGCAGAGCTGAGACAACTGTCAGTAAGGGCTCTGGAGGCCAGACTGCCTGGTTTAGATCTGCGTGCTCCCATTTACTAAACTCTGTGACCCTGCAATAGTCATTTCCTCTATGTCCCAGTTTCCTTATCTTTAAGTAAGATAATAGGAAATACATCATAAGGGATTTTGTATAAAATAAATCAGTACCAAGTACATATTAAACGCTTTGGACAATTTGTTAAAATGTATTTAATATAGGACTTTTAACTCCTTGATAATTATCTTTTGAAAAAAATATCTGTCCTATTTCTCCATTCGGATGATAATGGTCAAGAAGACAGGCTTCGTTAGCCACATTTGAATATTCACTACACTGGGCATAGGCTTGCTATACAGAAAAGCTACTCAATAAATATTGGTCACTCACTCAGTGTTCGCAATATTGAACTCTCCCTTAAGAAGCTTTTAAAATTCACGTCCTTCCAAAAAATGTTTTCTAAGTTAAAACATTTAATTTTATGTTTAAGAAGTAAACATTTGCAAGGTATCACCTATACATATAATTTATGTATCATTTTATAGATAATATGAATTGTTTAAATCAGTATTATAGTTAGTAAATTCATTTTGCCAGACAATTTACCATTCTCAACATTTAGAATTCTGCAGACTACTTGTTTGCTTATGAGTAGACTTGTTTTCAAAAAGAATACTTATAAAAGTTATGTTTTAAATCATTCATACCTTTAGTTTTTTACAACTGGAAATAGTAGTATTTTTCTGTTGTTCCTGAGAGTCTTCACATTTGTCTACAGTGCTCGGTCGTTTTTTAGAGGAATTTGAAATGTTTTTGTTTATGCACTCTGATATTGGGGGCACCATCATAGAAATACCAAATTTATTGTTATTTCCTCCAGGTTTTACAACATGAATATTCATTTTTTCTTTTGTCTTCAGCTGTAAAATCTTCCTTCCATTATACAGCATTTGGCATAGAAAAAAGGAAATAGTTAGTTCAGCATTTTTAGCACATATAATCTTCATATGTTCAATCGTTTTCATGACTTTCATAATATGGGCCATTTTTCCTAAATCTTTCCTAGGGGCAGACATTACATTCTTCAGCAGTGTAGAAAATTGATTGTAGTTGTATTCTAACTCCATCATGGTGCTTCCGTAATTTATGGATGTTATATATGGCACAAAGTCAATATATGTGGAAATAAAATACTTGGAGTTCTTCAGAAGCTTTTTTATTTCTGAAAGTTCTTGAAGTTCTCTTGAGAGCAAATGAATAGCATATGAGCGATTAACAGCTTCATCATATTTGTAGATAATATCCAGATCTTTCTTAAGTTCGGAAATAGCACTCTCTATCACTTTCCAAAGGCAAACATCTGTTGAGTTATCTTTAAGAAATGAAAAAGAAGTCATTTTTTCTTGGCACTGAACCAGCTCAGGAAGAAGTGACAAATCAAACCAAAGCATACCTCGAAACCTCTGTTTGTCTAGCTTCTTTGCTATTGAGTTTTTAAGAAAGTGAATTGTTTCTGAGACCATGACGATTTCAATATACATTTCAATAGCTTCAGGCTTTAAAAGTATAGCCTCATGGCTGTGGTTTTTCACCACGTCTAAAACATTTTCTTCTGTGATAAAAATATTATCCATGTTATCATCTTGTAGCATTTGAAAGTATTTTTTTAAAATTTCTAAGTGATCTGTACATCTCAAGGTGAGATCTTGTAATTTTTTAAGGTCTGCAAATTCAGCTTGATCCAATATCTCACTAATACAATAAATATCTGGGTGTGTAAGCAAACTACTGCTAAACTTAGAATTTTCTATGCCAATGGTTGCTTTGTTTATTGGATGATCTGATTTTCTGGAGGCAATTATAGTATCCTCCTCAAGCCCAACAGGGGAAATTGGCTCATTGTTTAAATCCTTAGACAAAGTATCATATATCTTCTGCAACTTAGAAAAAGCACATTTATTCACTCCGAGTAGCCTTTCTTTGTCCTCCTTTTGTGAGTATTTTTTGCTGAAGGATTGTGTTTTCTCTTTCCAAACAAGATTTTTTGCAGCATCAAAAAAGATATGTTCCAGACCATAAAGAGATATTTTAATACATACCGCCTCGTTGTTCTTAATAAAATTAACCTTTGAGGAGATCATTTCTATTATAATCCACAGATGGTCCTGTTTTCCTGGATACGAATGAACTTTAGGAGAGTCCTCACATGCACTGATCAACTTTAAAGTACTTTTTCTTAAGATTTCCAGGTCTTCTAAATTATCTCCAAAGTTAACTCCACAAGTAAATGGAACAGAAAGAGAAAAGTCAAAGCAATCAGAACAATGCTCCATTATGGCTTCACATTCATTAACCTGTCGTTTGTACTTTAAGAATACATAGTATGAATTCTTTTCCCTTTTTGTTTCTTCAAGTAATTCAACTAATTGATCATGGTAAGTCTGTAACTCACAGAATGCATTATATTTTAATCTTCCTTGGAAACCAGGATAGAAATTAGACTGCTGTTGAAATCCACGTGGTTTTCCAAGAAGCTCAGCGTACAGTGTTTCATCATACCAAAGCAAGCTTCGGAATGTTGGTTCACCTTCTAAGCGCCTTTTTTTGTTTTCAATGAATTGAATTGTTTCCATCATCATTTGAAGTTCTACCAAAGTGTCAACAGCAGATGGTTTTAATGTGTGTTTGCAATTATTCCATAGGTTTTGGTCTACCAACAGTTCTCTTGAAATCAGGATTTGTTCAACTGAACATTCTTGCTTTCTTTCAAAAGCTTCCACAAATAAAGGGAGAATATTTAGACAAACCTTAGTTTCTTCCTGTAGAATCTGCAAAGATGATGCTTCATCTGCCCTCTGCAAAATTTGAGACAGATTAGCTATAAAGGCCGTATGATTAGCTGAGCAATGTTTTTCTTTAAGTTCCCTCATGTATGATGCAGGTTTCTTCAGAAGAGTAGTGACTTTACAGGTTTCAGAGTGGGCAGGTAAAATAGGTGTATGATTAACTCCTAGAATCCCTGGTTTGGAAATATAGGCTATTTCTGAATGTAATGTCAAGTCAGACTGCGAGTCATTAGTAACTTTAATTTCCGCCTTCTCTCTTTTGTTAAGCGGATTAGAAACTGTGTTCTTCAAAGAGACTGACTCAGTAGTATTATTTTTAGTGCTTAGATGGGAATCAATCAAATTAGTTTTAATAATTTTCTCATTTAAGCAGCATTCTTCTGAGATCTGATTATTTTGATTTTTGTACTCAGTATTAACAGCTGATCCTTCAGTCATGCTACTTTTGTAAACAGAATCTTTTGCTTTTTCCACTTGTTTAACTTTCCACATTATTCTGTCCTCAGTGTCTTTCTTCGCAATACATGTTTCTGAAGAGGAGCCTTTTACATTATCTTTTAAAAGCAGAGAACTATCACTGGAAGATAATTTCACTATATTTTCCCCATAACTTCTACTTTCTTCAGTTACTGATGCTATATCCAACTCATAATTCTCAGTGACATTTGTTTCATTCCCATCTGTATGGAGGCAATTACCTGAAGAGCACTGTTCCGTCTTAAGAAGCTCTTTTCCTCTACAGCTCTGCTCACGGCATGGTATAGTAGTGGATGCTGCAAAAGAATCTATAGTAAGAATTCTCTGTTTATCCAAGTAAGATTTTGAAGATTCTCCCTCACTATCTGTCACTGCAGAGGCTGATAACTGAGGAATACTGTACTTTTTACTTGCTATCAAAGTTAGGTTTAATGGGTCCATAAGGAAGTTTCCTGTAATAATGCTTTGCTTGCATCTCTCGATAGGAGCTGTCCACTTTACTTCCAGGTTTCTTTTATAATCAGATAAAGTAAGGTTTTCTTGTTGGTAGAGATCATTTAAAAAGTGCTTCACATTTGAATCTAACACTGAAATAAGTACATCAGTTTTCACCTTTGTGCAACCTATGCAAGTTGCATCATAATCGTTGCCTGTACTATAATTTATATTTTCTTTTATGCAACTTAAAGACATGGAATTACTTTCATTTATTACTTGATTAGCCTCACAACTGTTTTCTTTAGTTGTATCTTTAACATTATGATTTGCTGAATGTTTTTCAAGCTTTTCATGTTTACTAGTGCTAGATAAAAACTTTGTATCAATTTGATTTTCTTTTTCAATTAGTTTCTCATCTGAGTGATCTGGGGAAAACAGACATCCAGTTTTTCCAGAAAAGGGCTGATGTTCTTCTGATAAACTTGGATTGCTTACACTGCTATTATAATAAACTGACTGACTTGTACTTTGGGATGTGGAAGATATAGGCAACTGTGATTCAGGATGTTCCTGATTATGAAATTCTCCCACGTGAATAGTGGGGTGACTTTTTGAGACACCGCTAGCCATACTTTTCCTAGAAAGGCATTGTTTCTCTCCACTTGTATTGTAAGACTTGTGCTTTGACACATAGGTTAACGATTTAGAAATATCAGCTTTTGGAGCTCTTTTCTTTCTCCGTTTGTCATATTTTCTTTTTGACAAAAAATGCTTAGTAGAATAATATTTTCTTCGAGATACAGAACTATAATCTTGAAGGTCACAACTTTCCCAGAAATTATTGCATATTATTGCATATGATTTTGGTAATGGGCCCTTTCTTTTTTCTCCTACTTTAGTTATAAGCTGCAAAGATGTGTGAACTCTTCTATGAGCTTTTTTTAAATGAGTAACTGCTTTGTCTAGTTTTTTGGAAAGACATTTGCTTTTGCATAAAGATGCTTCACCACTTAGGATATTTAGGACACTCTTAATGTGCTTTTCTGACTGTGAAAATGTTTTAATTCGTCCTTGGGATAATGAAGAAAAACACTCAGATGAGTCTTGACTGGTTAGCCTCCTCTTTCTCCCATAAATTTTATGTTGTCTTAAATCTTTATGTATGTTCTGATCCCTGGAAGACGTATGTAGCTTCCTTTTGCTAATTCTTGATTCTACCTCCTTTTTATTTTTGGTATCATTATAGTCAGTTTTTGATTTTGTAAAGAAACATGTGCTTCCATTATCTACTGTTGTGACATTAGAAGGTTCACTAGACAAAGATTCACTGTTTTGATTTTTAGACCTATGATTCACATCTGTATTATGACTCAAGTCAAAAGAAAGGGAGATTTCAGATTTACTCATTGGTCCTGATTCTTGCCTTATATTATCAACTTTATCTTCACATGGATAATCCGAATTTTCACCAGAAGGCTGGGAATAAATGTCAAATCCTAGAATTTCTCCATCTTCCTTATTTATTTCTGGTTTTGTGGCTTCAGTTACATGTGTGCAGAAATTATCTTTCAATGCAAGGGAGTCAACTGTCGGGCTGAATCCTGGCCTAAATATATTAGTAATTCTAATTTGTAGATCTGGAAGTAAAATTGGGCTGGGAAGCTCTGTTTCACTGCTTTGTGTAGAGGAATAAAAATAGTTACTTTCCTTAGAATAATGCTGATCACTATTTTCCCTTCCTGCGGTGCTTTCCAAAACTTCCATCTCCCCATTATCGAGTGCTAATATACCTTCCCAACTGATACGGGACTTCAGAGCCTTGTATGAGGTCACAAATTCCTCACAAAGCATGTTTTCATGGCTGTGTGTATCTTGTTGAAATATAAAAGCATCATCACAATCTTCTAATTCTATTTCAATTTCACTTTCCAATTCAATGCTTTGAAGAACTAAGTTCTCATTTATTGATTGATGAAAAGATTCTTGTGATTTATTTTTATCCTTATCAATTTCACAATCGGAAACCCTATGTTTTACTAACAAACCAAAATCTGGACTTTCAGAAGAACAAGTTTCTTTAAACTGGTATATTTGGTGTTCGTCATTACTTATGCTTAATACAGGCATAGTAGCACTAGCTATCTGTACTGCAGCATTTGAGGCTACACACACTGAAGAACTTGCAATTTCGGGAAACGCTGTGGAAGCCAAATGCTCTACACTTCTTCCAGTATTTTCAGTATCTTTTTGTTTCATGGCACTAATGGTATCTTCTTCACTCTCTAATAATGCAGTTGCTGCTGACACATATTTTTCTCTGCAAATCAAGTTAAATGTAGCAGAAAATTCTTCAGAACTCAAAATTTCTATATTGTTGTAATTTTTCTCCTCCTTTTCATCTATATAGCTGAAATTTTCATTTGTATGAGAATCCTGCTTTTTGTCTCCATATATATTCTCTATGTTGTTTTCTACAGATGAAGCATTATTCTCTTTAGCCTCATTTTGGCTTTCTTTATAATTATCTCTTTGTTCTTTGAAATTAACATTCAGGCATATATCGTTTAACTGTGAGTTACAGAACAGACTGTGATCCTGACCCCTATCTTCAACATAAGCAGTTTCTTTATAGTCTCTCTGAATGTCCTCTAATGACACTGGTTCATTTTCATTTTTCCTGTGGACACATATATGTTTTCTAGTTATGCTGCAATTTGAATTGTCATGAGCTGTTTCTATGTTATAAGAGGAAATAACTGTATCAATGAGCATTTCTTTGGCCTCGGGTATGTCTTTTGGTTTCGGGAAAGCTTTAGTTATAATGCTAGCACAATTTGCATTTATTTTCCCCAATTTCAGTTCCATTAGCTTTTGAGAAATGGCTAAACTTGTGTGAATGTTATCCTCATACTCCACAGAGTGCTGAGGATGCTTTTGTGACAGGCTCTCTAAACTTGGAGTAATTTGCCATTCCAATGCTAGATGATCTAGTTCATCCTTATCCTTTATGGTAGATGTAGAAGATTTTGGTATTTCTAACTCTTGAGTAATTAATATTTTACCACAGCTTTTCTCGAAAGAATTATGACTCTCACTCTCTTTGTATTCTTGGTGCAAAACAATGTAATTATCCATTGGACTGATTTTTGTTTCATTAGTGAAATCATTATCAATTTCTTTCCACGAAGTTTGCTTTTCTTCATGTTTGGAATTGTCCTTCAGGTCAGTGAAGTTTTTCATCTTTCCAGTATTTTGAAGGTATTCATCAATGCTTACTTTCTTTTTGAGTGGAAAAATTGTAGACATTTGGTGACCAGTCTGATAAATGGTTTTTAAATCAGAAGACTGCGATTCCTGAGAAATATGACTATTATACTCTTTTTTATAAGCATTACCCAACTCCTGTTGGGCTCTCTGAACCTTCTCCTCACTGTGGTTTTGGTTCTCAACCTCTGATACTACATTTGACACAGAAATTGGGAAGGAAAAATTGCCTTGGTCCTTACATTGCCCGGCCATGGTAACTTTATTGGGAGGTACGCAGTCATAGTCCTCAGAGCCTGTGTTGTGAGCCCAAGATTGTGAATCATTAACACAAGTTTTAAAGCAAGGGGCATCCAAACAATTAGTAAGAACAGCACAATCACCAGGGACAACTTCTAAGGAGGAGGCAGAATTAGATGGTGTTGATTTTATTTCTGAATTAACATTATCTAAACTCTTCTCAAACTGCAAAATCTCATTTAAGCCTGCAGTATTACTCTGTTCTCCCATACTTTCTTCTCTCCTCATCAGTCTTGGGTCTTTGATGAATTTTGAAGTAGTAACTGTGCTTGAGCCAGTATTGTTGGGAAGAGGAAAAGCAGCATTAAGACTACTTAAAATATTTTTAAGACTTGTCCAATTTAACAAAAGGTCACCATTAACACTTTCTTTGGCATCACTGGGCATAAGTGGAAGGTCTGAATCATGTGCAAGTACTTGAGAAGTGTCTCTAATTTCTGCTAAATTGTGCTCTGCCTGTCCATTGTATGTTTCAGGTATAGAAATGTTTCCATTTTGTACATTTCCATAGGAGTTAGAAATATGTGAGTTGGAAGGATTTATCTCTGAATTTAGTATATTGCATAAACAGTTTTCTTGAATAAATGGATCTACAGGTTTCTTGAAATGCTCAAAGATGACAGTAGCATCTTTTCCTTTTCCAATTCTTTTGGCCACTGTACAGTTATTCAGAGAGCATGTTCTTTCTGTGGAAATAATAAGACAAATTTGAAAAAAATGTGTTTCTATAGACAACTTTTATACAGGTACATTGTGTCAAGTAATTTTAATTGAAAGTTCAGCTAATAACCTAATGATGATTAAAATGTGTTTTCAACAGAAAAAGCAGAGAAGGGGATGATTAACAAATAAAATATAAATGATGTAGCATGAAATTCTCCTAGTCTAGAAACCTTAATAAAGAATATTTGCCATGAAAATTTAATTCTGACAAACAATAGAAAAAAACTGAATAGGGGCCGGGCACGGTGGCTCACACTTGTAATCCCATTACTTTGGGAGGCCGAGGTGGACATATCATGAGCTCAGGAGTTCGAGACCAGCCTGGCCAACATGGTGAAACCCCGTCTCCGCTAAAAATAATAAAAAAAAATTAGCCAGGTGTGGTGGTGGGTGCCTGTAATCCCAGCTACTCAGGAGGCTGAGGCAGGAGAATTGCTTGAACCTAGGAGGCGGAGGTTGCAGTGAGCAGAGATCGTGCCACTGAACTCCAGCCTGGGCAACAGAACAAGACTCCATCTCGGGGGCTGGGGGCAGAGGTGGAGAAGAACAAAACTAAATAGGAATAAAAATATTTTCCCAATAGATAACAGCTCTCTTATATTAATTTTCTATATTCAGATGTTTAATATTAGTATCTACATGTAAGAAGGCAAAATAATCTCCCTCTATCTACTACCATTACCTTGCTTCTCCCTCTACCATGGGAGAAAAAAAGGGAAAGGAACGGGGAGTGAGGTGGAAAAACAGGGAAAGGAAAACCCAAAAAGTTCCATAAAATCTTTCCCAAGAGCCAAAGCAAACTACTATTCCTCTTTTGCAGTAAAATAAATGTTCCTGCAAATAATTTATGTAAACAAAAACCTGGAAAATAAAAGCAAACTTTAAAAATAATTTATAAAAATTATTTCTAAAATTTCCTAAGAAACCTCATGTAATCATGAATTTACAAAATGCATATTTAACAAGTAAATAATAATTTCTCATAAATGTTCACCAAACATTCACAGCTAAGTAACAGACTAAAAATACCTTTACTAAAACAGGAATTAATGATGAGAAATTGCTTGTGACATCTACAAAATATATGAAGTTATCATGTCACTGACGAGTACCACAAGGTTTTTTTTTCACAGTAAGAGAGCTATGTTGAAGATTTCTAAATTCTACTACCATTTGTGATTTTATTACTTACAGTAAGCTCTCATGGAAATACGACCACATATGAAGAGATGTAGTTCTTAAAAGAGTAGGGAGTATAATGGAGAAGAAAATGGAAATGTAGACTCCTACACCACCTTATCCCAAAATAAAATTTGCTATTTAAAAAACTCCATAAAACTACTAGAAAAAAACCATGAATGGATGTTTTTATAATCTTGGCATAGGAAAGTACTTTTAAAGCATGACTGAAAATCAGAAAACATAAAAGTAAAACATGATGTCAATTACACATAAATTAATTATTTTAATAGGTCAAAATGCATGACAAATAATACTCAAAGGAAAAAATAGGTAAAATTATCAACAAACACAAAAAGATGCCCCAACTCCACTAAATAAACAATAAGATCCATTAAAAAAAACTTTTTAAACTGGCAAAAATTTGAAAGGATGATTAATGCTATACAAATATAAGCACTATTTAATATGGTTCGTGGAAGTATAAATTGGGACAAATTTCCCGGAAAACCAGCTGACAGTATTCATTGATACGTTATATGTAATCATTCAAAGCAACCATTCTTGCTCGTTTACTATTCTGATAAACTTGTACAAATACCCAAAGTTCTATGGACAAGGATTTTCAGTAAAATAACCCAAGACAGTTGAAAGCTAGAAACCTAACTATACATCAATATGAGACTGGCTAAATGAATGACATATCAAAAATGATAAAATTACTATGAACATACATTATAACAAATGTCCTAGAAGACAGAATGTTATGCAGCTATTACAAAGATTAAGGTGGATTAATATGGCTGGGCAAGGTGGCTCACGCCTGTAATCTCAGCACTTTGGGAGGCCGAGGCAGGCGGATCACTTGAGGTCAGGAGTTTGAAACCAGCCTGGCCAACATGGTGAAACACTGGTCTCTACTGAAAATACAAAAAACTAGCTGGATGTGGTGGTGTGTGCCTGTAGTCACAGGTACTCAGGAGGCTGAGGCAGAAGAATTGCTTGAACCTGCGAGGCGGAGGTTGCAGTGAGCTGAGATCACGCCACTGCACTCCAGCCTGGGTGACAGAGTGAGACTCTGTTTCAAGGAAAAGGGAGAAAAAATGGGTTAATATATACCAATGTGGGAAAAGAAACCTAATTACTTAAGTTTACGCCGGGTGAATCTCCTGAGGTCAGGAATTCGAGACCAGTCTGGCCAACATGGTGAAACCCTGTGTCTACTAAAAATACAAAAATTAGGCATGGTGGCATGTTGCCTGTAGTCCCAGCTACTTGGAAGGCTAAGGCGGGAGGATTGTTTAAACCCAGGAGGCGGAAGTTTCAGTGAGCCGAGATGGTGCCACTGCACTCCAGCCTGGGTGACAGAGCAAGACCCCATCTCAAAACAGGCAAACAAGCAAAAAAACCCTAATTGCTTAAGTTTAATAATTTCACTTTTACAAATGAGTGATGAATGCATATTAACATACATGTAATGTTAACAAAAACTTATAAAATACATGGATGCCAGGTCCTGTTTTAAGTCTCTGATGTACATTAATTTAATCTTCATAACATTTCCATTTTATTGATGAGGAAGTGAAATTAAGAGCAATTTGCCCAGAATCACACAGCTTATAAACAGTAGAATCTTAATATATATTATGCTATCTCTTTAAACTTGATAATGGCATTTTTACTTTATTCCCTTTTTGTTGGCATTCTCATCAAATGACAATTAATTGCAGAACAAATCCAACATCCTGGGTGCACCAAAATCTCACAAATCACCACTAAAGAACTTACTCATGCAACCAAATACCACCTGTTTCCCCAAAAACCTATGGAAATAAAAAAAATTTTAAAAAGTAGTAAGAAAAAACCCCCAACAAATCCAACATCTTCAGTACAATATGGAAACTAACAAAACCAGATTACAATCAATAAAGTACACTACCAAATAGTTATTAGTACCATATATTTGGTGATGACAGAAACGTTATCTATGGTAGCCACTAGCCACATATGGTTACTGAGCATTGAAATGTGCCTGGTGTGACTGATAAATTGAATTTATAATTTTATTTAATTTTAATTAATTTAAATTTAAAGAGCCACATGTGACTAGTGGCTACTATATTAGATAGTGTAGGTCTGGTGTACTCTAGAGGGAGATGAGTATGCTGATAGCCAACACATGTGGCTATGACTGTTGGCATAATATAGGTATTCTCTAAAGTTAATCACCCTGAACGGCATCATCCTTTGATTAAAGTAATAAGCTATAATACATTGCGGATGGGCTGCAGTAGAAGTGGGTAAAGGTCCCTATCTGTTATCTCTAATATAAGCCTTCTGGTTGAGGGGAAATGCGGACAGAACAACTAGGTAGAAAATCATCAAGGAAACAGAAGACTTGAACAAACTATAAAACAAGTAGACCTAACAGCCTATGGAACACCCTGCCTGGCAAAAGCAGAATATAGTACAGTTGGCCCTATGTATCGGTTAGTCCCAAATCCATGGATTCAACCAATCATGGGTGAAAAATTAAAATATAAACACAAAATAACAATAACAATATAACAATAAAAATAATACAAATAAAAAACACAGCCTAACAACTATTTACATAGAACAAATATGTTATTGGTATTAAAAGTAATATAGAGATAATTTAAAGTATATGGGAGGATGTGTGTACGTTATATGCAAATAGTGAGCCAGTCTGTAAAGGAATTTGAGCATCCACAAATTTTGGTATCCATGGAACATCCTGGAACCAATCCTCCCCCACAGATACTAGAGGACTACTGTATATTCTTTTCAGTTGCACATGGATCATTCTCCAGGAAAGACGATATGCTAGGTTATACAACAAACCTCAATAAACTTAAAGGAAAAAGATAATACAAATGGTTTTCCAACTACAATGGAATGAAATAGATATCAACAACAAAAAAATTTTGGAAATTTGCAAATACATAAAAAACACGGTCCGAAAAAAAACCAATGAATTAAAGAATAACAGATCAAAAGGAAATTAGAAAATAAATTTGAGATAAATGAAAATTACAACGTAACATATGTTATGGGACACAGCTAAAGTAGTTGCTTCTAGAAATTTACAGCTATAAAGACCTATATTAGCAAAGAAGAAATATCTGAAATCAAAACCTAACCATCCACCTTAAGACACACATACACATGAAATAGCAAACTAAATCTAAAGCAAACAGAAGAAAATAAAGAGAGGAAATTAATGAAATAGAATTATAGCAAAAAGAATAAAATCAAAATTGGTTCTTTGAAAAAAAAAAAAAGATAAACCTTTAGCCTGACCAAAAAAAAAAAAAAAAAAAAAAAGAAGACTTTAACTAGTAGACTCAGAAATGAAAGAGGGGACATTACCACTAACAGAAATAAAAAGACTATTAGACTATTAAAGGAATACTATAAACAAATGTATGCCAATAAATTAGATAACTGAAATGAAATGGACAACTTCCAATAAAAACAGCAACTACTGAAAGTGATGCAAGAAACAGAAAATCAGAACAGACCTACAACAAGTGAAGAAACTGAATTAGTAATTGAATACTACCCACAAGGAAAAACCCATTCCCAGATGGTTTCCTTAGTGAAGTCTACCAAATGTTTAAAGAAGAAATAATACCAATTCTTCATACATTATTCCAAAAAATAAAAGAGGAGAGAATAGAATACTTCCCAACTCATCCTATGGAACATATTACCCTACCACCAAAACCAGACAAAAACATCAAAAAAAATCAATAGACCAGTATCTCTTATAAATGTGGACACAAAAATCCCCAATAAAATTGCAGCAAACTGATTCCAGGAACATATACAATGAATTATACACCATGACCAAACCAAGGAACTGCAATGTTAACACCTAAAAATCAATTAATGTAATACATTAGATCAATAAAAACAACAAAAAAAAACCACACAACCATCTCAACAAAGAAAAATCGATTGAGAAAATCCAATAATCTAAAAACTCTCAATAAATCAGAAACAGAAGCAAATTTCCTCAAAATGATAAAGAGCTTCTATAAAACCCCTACAACTGACATCATACTTCCTGGTAAAAGACTGGATACTTTCCCCCTAAATTCAGGAATACAGACAAAGATGTCTGCTCTTGCCACTTCTCTTACTGGAGGTACTTACCCAGGGCAATTATGCAAAATAAGACTGGAAACAAAAAAGTAAAATTATCTCTATTCACAGATGACATGATCTTATATATAGAAAATCCCAAAGACCACTAAAAAAACTATTAGAATAATGAGTTCAGCAAGGCTGCAGGATACACTATCATTACACAAAAGTCAATTATATTTCTGTACATTTGGAATGAACAATACACTAATAAAATAAAGAATTCTATTTATGATAGCACCAAAAGAATAAAATACTTAAAAATAAGCTTAACAAAAGAAGTGCAAAACTCATATTCTGAAAACTATACTTCACACCCACTAGGATGGCTATAATCAGAAAGTCAAATAAGCTATGACAAGGATATGAAGAAATTCTAACTCTCAGACACTGCTGGTGTGAATGTAAATGGTGCAGCCACTTTGGAAAATAGTTTGGCAGTTCCTCGATCAGTTACTACAGAGTCTTCATATAAACCAGCAATTCCACTCTTAGCTTTATTGTACTCAAGAGCAATGAAAACACATATCCATGTAACAACTTGTATGCAAACATTCATAGCAGAATTTGTAATGGTCAAACAATGGAAACAACCCAAATGTTGACCAACTGATAAATACAATATGGTGCAACTATACAACGAAATGGTTTCCATAAAAAAAAAAAAGTACTGATACATGCTACAACATGGATGAACCAGGAAAACAATGTTAAATGAAAGAAATCAGGCACAAAAAAGTCCAAAAATTATGATTTTACTTAAATGAAATGCCCTGATTAGGCATAAAAGTACATTAGTAGTTGCTTAGGGCTGGGGATCAGGGATATAATACCTTTTAAAGGGCACAAAGTTTCTTTTTCTTTTCTTTTCTTTTCTTTTTTTTTTTGAGACAGAGCTTTGCTCTTTCGCCCAGGCTGGAGTGAAGTGGTGCCATCTGGGCTCACTGCATCCTCCGACCCCCAGGTTCGAGCAATTCTCCTGCCTCAGCCTCTCGAGTAGCTGGGATTATAGGCGCCTGGCACCACGCCCAGCTAATTTTTGTATTTTTAGTAGAGATGGGGTTTCACCATGTTGGCCAGGCTTGTCTCAAACTCTTGACCTCAGGTGATCCACCTGCCTCGGCCTTCCAAAGTGCTGGGATTACAGGCATGAGCCATGGTGCCCCGCACAAAGTTTCTTTAAAATGTGAGCTTAGGCTGGGTGCGGTGGCGTGTACCTGTAGTCCTGGCAACTGAAGGTGGAGATGGGAGGATTGCTTGAGCTTGGGAGGCGGAGACTGCAGTGGGCCAAGCTGTGCCACAGCACTCCAGCCTGGGTGACAGGGTGAGATCCTGTCTCAAAAACAAAACAAAAAACAAAACAAAGTACCTTAATTTTAAAACTGTGGTGATGATTGCACATATTTGTGAATATACTAAAAGCTACTGAATCTTACACTTTTAAATCAACTGAACTGACATACACCAACAATAGAAAATAAAATGAAATAGCTATTATTTAAAATAACATAAAATATCAAATGTTTAAAAATAAAAGGCATGCAAGATGTTACAGAGAAAATTATAAAATTGAAATACGTTAGAGATAACTGACATGGGAGAAATACAATGTTAATATATTAGAAAACTCAATAAAGAAGACAATTTTCCACAAATTAATACATAGATTCAATCAATCTCAATCAAAATTCTGATAAATTTGTTGGCAGACCTTGATAAGTTGATTCTAAAATTTCTATGAACACCAAAGGACCAAAAGCAAAGATGAAGGATCAGTTATATAGGTATTAGTATTTTTTCTCTCATACAAAGTCCGGTATTAGTATTTTTAATGAAGTTACAATAATTAAGGCAAGATGCTTATGGCAAAACGATAGGCAAGGAGATGAACAGAAAGCCCAGTTAAGAGATCTCTGCAGCACTGCAGCCAACTGATATATTACAGAGGTGGTACTGCAGTTATCGATCAGTGGGGAAAATGGATTCTCCAATAAACTGTACTGAGACAACAATCAGGTTAGCATATGTAAACTAAAATAAATTGGGACTTTAAAAGAATCCTATCACACACCAAAGTCATTTTCAGGTAGGTAAAACAAAAATGGGAAAACATACCTATAAAGTTAAAAAAAAAAAATAGAAAAATATCTTCATGTCCTAGGAAAAGCACTCTTATGAAAGACACATGTAGTAGTACTTATAATAAAAAGACATATCTGACATCAAGAACCGCTGTTCATCAAAAAACACTTGACAAAAATGAGAATACAAAGACACTCGCAACACATACAACTGACCCAAGAGCCAATATCCAGTATGTAAAAGAATTCCTACAAATCAATAATGAAATAAAAATTAGCTCAATTAGAAAAAGTAGATAAAAGATGGACCAGGAATTTCAGAAAAGTGGAAAATGAATGGCCAATACACCTATCAGAAACGAACCTAACTTATTTAGCATTTGAGGAAAAGCAAAATACAAAAGCAAATAAATGCTGTATCTACTAGTGTAGCAAAAACACTGAAAAAGTCTGACGGCACTAAGTTTGGTGAGGATACAAAAATCCTCAACTTCATTAATTAGGGAAAAACAAGTTAAAAACCACAATGAAAATAACATATCACACTCATTAGACTGGCAGAAACAAAACTTAAAAAAAAAAGCATAGTATGTGTTGGCAAGAATATAGAGTGATTATGTAATCTAATGCAAACCATTTTGGAAAATCATTTGATGCTGTCTTTCAGTTGAACATTTCTGCTGTAAATACATATTCTATGGAAAAATTCTTGGCACATATGCAATGAGACGCTTTTATGAATATTTAAAATAGCAATGTTTGGAATAAGAAGACTGGAAAGTGCCCAAATATCCTCAGTAGTATAGTGTACAGTGTGTCTACACAATGGAATACTCTCCATCCATTCATCCACGAAAATGAACAAACTACAGTTACACATATCAATAGGGAAGAATCACACAAACCTAATACTGAGCAAAATACCTGCAGTATGATTCTAGATCTATGAAACAGGTAAAACACAACTATTTTACTTGGAGATTCACTTTTTTTTTTTTTTGAGACAAGGTCTCCCTCTGTCACCTAGGCTGGAGTGCAGTGGTGTGATCCTGGCTCACTGCAACCTCCACCTCCTGGGTTCAAGCGATTCTCCTTCCTCAGCCACCCGTGTAGCTGGGATTATAGGCACACGCCACCACACCTGGCTAATTTTTGTATTTTTAATAGAGTCGGGGTTTTGCCGTGTTGGCCAGGCTGGCCTCAAGTAATCTGCCCGCTTCCGCCTCCCAAAGTGCTGGGATTACAGGTATGAACCATTGTGCACAGCCAGAAAATAATACTGAGAAATTTTAAGACCAGCACAAATGCTAATCAAGTACAATCATATGTGTATCTTACCAGCTCTCTTAGGAAATCCTGTTGAGAGGAATCTCAAAGATGTCATAAGATATCCATTATCTACTTTTGAACCAAGAAATTTTACTGTTACTACAGCATATGGAAGACATTGCCTAGGTTTATCTACAGGTTTTGAAAGGACACTATATTCATAGAAGTACACCTAAAAGATAAAGAAGAAAACAGGTTCATGCTGATTAATTTTGGCAATCAGACTTGAATAAGCTCATATTTTAAAAAAATCAATATAATTGCATATTATTTATCTACTTCTATATAAACTTCTCCAGCTGCCTTGTTTAACCCTAATGTTTTTGAAGATGTACAGAATTCCTTTTTTTCCCCCACAATTTTTTTTCTTGATAGGCTACCAACGTCTGCATAAAAAGGCATAATTTGTTTTTAAATAAAAAATATTTTTTCATTAAAAGTTAAATGTTTTCCATAGAGTCTCAACTATTATATTTTATTTCGTAGAAAAAATTAGGAAAATAACAATAGGTAGTATGTTTTACATGTGGGTACATGGATATACTTTCATAGAGAAGATTTATCTTCACTTAATCATGATTATATATAATCCATATATAATTTAATATTCTGTATAAAAGTAAAGGTCCGCAGAATAAGTGAAACACGATAGATTACTGTTTCATCTAATGACTAATACATAAGACTTTTCTTTTTTCCTACTTTTGCAAAGTATAGAAGATCAAAATCTTATTTTGAAATAGCCTTGTTTTTTAAAATTAATATTATTTATGATTGATAAATCTTAACTATATATTTACGGGGCACAATGTGGTGTTTTGATATATGTATGCAATGAGGAGTAATTAAATCAAGGTAATTAACATGTCCATCACCTCACCCATCACTTTTTATGGTGAAACACTGGAAATTTACTCTCAGCAATTCTGAAATAATGCATTATTATTAAGTATGGTCACCCTGCTGTGCAGCCTTGTTTAAAAGAGAAGTTGGTATATTTTGAAAGTTAGTAAATAATCTATATAATATCTAAATAAAAGTAGCCACTGTACTTTGAACAGAGTTAAATGTAAATTTTCAAACTTCTTCACTAATATTCTCATACAACAAATATTAAAATGGCTTTCGCTGTTTGCTTAAGTTTTATATTGAACGAATTAACAGGTTTTCATTTAACATTTTGGGAATGTAAATCTTGAAACATACAATGTGAAACAAGTACTTTTCAAGAAATCAAATGAACCATCAACATACTGCTGAACTGTAGGCTTGCAGTTCAATGGTATCTTTCAAAGAAGGTGCATTTCTTGACATATGGCAATCAAAGTTAGGAGAAGGATCCAAAGAAACTTTATTTTTATCCACAGAAGGCTGAATTTTCTTCACTTTTCCAAAGAGAACCTAAAAAAAAAAAAAAAGCCAAAAAAAGTACGTAAAAATATACCAAGACATTTCTAAACTGTCACATTTCAAACATAAAAGGCCAACATTGTTTTGTTTTTCTGAGACAGGGTCTAACTCTGTTCACTCCAGGCTGGAGTTGCAGCCTTGACTTCTCAGGCTCAAGCGATTCTCCCACCTTAGCCCCACTGAGTAGCTGGGACCATAGGTGCACATCACCATACCCAGCTAATTTTTGTAGGGACCAGGTTTCACCATGTTGCCCAGGCTGGTCTTGAACTGCTGGGTCAAGTAATTCTCCTACCTTGGCCTCCCAAAGCACTGGGATTACAGGCAGGAGCCACGGTGTCAGGGCGTGATTTTTTTAAGAAGTAGAAATATGAATGGAAAGATAATCCATTTTCTAGATGAATGGGATGACTCAACATGGCAATTATGCCAATTCTCCCCCAAACTAAACTCTAAGATCAGAGTAATTCCAATAAAAATTTCAGAGAATCTCTTTTTTTTTTTTTCAGACAGAGTCTCACTCTGTCCCCGAGGCTGGAGTGCAGTGGTGTGATCTTGGTTCACTGCAGCCTCCGTCTCTTGGGTTCCAGCAATTCTCCTGCCTCAGTCTCCTGAGTGGCTGGGATTACAGGCATGTGCCACCATGCCCGGCTAATTCTTGCATTTTTAGTAGAGATGGGGTTTTGCCATGTTGGCCAGGCAGGGCTCAAACTCCTGACCTCAGGTGATCTGCCCACCTTAGCCTCCGGAAACACTGGGATTACAGGCGTGAGCCACCACACCTGGCCGAGAATCTACTTTTAAAAATGGGGTATAATTTTAAAATGTACTTGGAAGACAAACAAGAATAGCTCAGAAATTTTTTTAAAGTCTGGGTTAGCAATTGACAATGATGGAACAGGACAAGTGACTTGCAATTCTGGATATAGAAACATTTTTAAAAAGGATAGTACTACCACAAGAAAAAGCAGAGAAAAGACCAAAATGAATAAAAAACAGAATGAAAGAAAAAACCTGGAGTAAGCCCACACATGTATTAAAAATACTAAAAATACAGTATATTATATTAAAAACACTATTTGAAATAAGAAGTGATTATTCAATTAATGACGTGGGACAACAGAAAAAATTAAATTCTTTTCTTATCATGTTAAATATTTAAGTATTAAAAATACAATGAAAATACTGTAGAAAGAAACATAGGCCAATATTTATTTAATCTCAAAGTGATAAGCATTTTCTAAGAATATGTGCCAATAAAATGAAACGAAAACATATAAACTTCACAACACAGTATTCTAAAATTTCTGCCCATAAACAACAAATGATTTAAAAACTAAAACCATGAACATAAATGACAGTATTTTATTACTGTTATTTTAAATAGATTAATACGTTCATTCAACAATCAAAACAATACTAAGAATAAAGTGTTATCCTGAATTGGATCCTGGAACGCAAACAAACATAAGTAGAAAAATTAGCAAAAGCCAAATAAAGTCTGTAATTTAGTTAACGGTATGACAATGTCAGTTTCTTAGTTTTGACAATCATGCTGTATTTGTGTAAAATTTAACATCAGAAGAAGTTGGGTGCATTATATACAAGGGCTCTCTTTACTATCTTTGTAACTTTTCCATAAATCTAACATTATTCTAAGTATACTAAAAAATTTAAAACGTGAAATGATAAAACATTATAGAGAGAGAAGCCTAGCTCTAAAAATATGCTTTAGGTAATAGATAATGCTCACACACCTATGCAAAAAAGGGAAAAAAAAACCCCCAAAACTGTCAAGGAATATAAATAAGCAGTTCACTAAATACAGTCAGCAAATATATTCAACAGAAACTTTAAACTCAGGAATAATCATAATGAAGAAATAATTAAACCAATAAAGAGAAACTACCACACATTAGACTGGCAAAAGTTTTTTTAAAAGTTCAGTATAGGCTGGGTGCGGTGGCTCAAGCCTGTAATCCCAGCACTTTGGGAGGCCGAGACGGGAGGATCACGAGGTCAGGAGATCGAGACCATTCTGGCTAACATGGTGAAATCCTGTCTCTACTAAAAAATACAAAAAACTAGCCAGGCGAGGTGGTGGGAGCCTGTAGTCCCAGCTACTCGGGATGCTGAGGCAGGAGAATGGTGTAAACCTGGGAGGCAGAGCTTGCAGTGAGCTGAGATCCGGCCACTGCACTCCAGCCTGGGTGACACAGCGAGGCTCTGTCTCAAAAAAAAAAAAAGTTCAGTATAATATGTAGGTTTACTGAGGTTGTAAGATAACAGGCATTCTTTTTTAAAAAATGTTTTATTTTCTTTTTAATTGCTATGTAACAATTGTCCATATTTGTAGGGTACAGTGTGATGTTTTGATACATGTATACATTGTGTAATGATCAAATCAGGGTATTTAGTATATCCATCACCTCAAACCTTTATTTCCTCATGGTGAGAACATTCAAAATCCTCTTCTAATTATTTTGAAATATGCAACAGAATACTGATAACTATAGTCATTCTGTTGTGCAACATAGCACCAGAACTTATTATTTTTTTTTACAAGAAAAAAAAACCCATCAAAAAGTGGGCAAAGGATATGAACAGACACTTCTCAAAAGAAGACATTCATACAGCCAACAGACATATGAAAAAATGCTCATCATCACTGGCCATCAGAGAAATGCAAATCAAAACCACAATGAGATACCATCTCACACCAGTTAGAATGGCAATCATTAAAAAGTCAGGAAACAACAGGTGCTGGAGAGGATATGGAGAAATAGGAACACTTTTCCACTGCTGGTGGGACTGTAAACTAGCTCAACCATTGTGGAAAACAGTGTGGCGATTCCTCAAGGATCCAGAACTAGAAATACCATTTCACCCAGCCATCCCATTGCTGGGTATATACCCAAAAGATTATAAGTCATGCTGCTATAAAGACACACGCACACGTATGTTTACTGAGGCACTAGTCACGATAGCAAAGACTTGGAATCAACCCCAATGTCCATCAGTGACAGACTGGATTAAGAAAATGTGGCACATATACCATGGAATACTATGCAGCCATAAAAAAGGATGAGTTCATGTCCCTTGCAGGGACATGGATGCAGCTGGAAACTATCATTCTCAGCAAACTATCCCAAGAACAGAAAACCAAACACTACATGTTCTCACTCATAGGTCGGAACTGAACAATGAGATCACTTGGACACAGGAAGGGGAACATCACACACCGGGGCCTATTGTGGGGAAGGGAGAGGAGGAGGGGGAGGGATAGCATTAGGAGATATACCTAATGTAAATGACGAGTTAATGGGTGTAGCACACCAACATGGTACAGGTATATATAGGTAATAAACCTGCATGTTGTGCACATGTACCCTAGAACTTAAAGTACAAAAAAAATTAAAAAAAATTAAAACAAAAAAACAGGCATTCTTACACACTGTGGATGGAAATGTCCATTAGTGCAACTTTTCTCAGGACAGTTGAGCATTACACAATCAAAAGATGTAAAAATGTACATACTTTTGATTTCTAATTTGACACCTAGGAATAAACCAATTAATTCTTAGCAAAGAATCATTTGTGTATGTAAAATGTACCAACAAGGACAATCTATGTAGTATTTAAGAGTATAAAAACAAAACAAACTAAACACCAAATAACTTACATCCTAACATTACAGAACTTGTTGGGCAAATATGGCAGGTCTACAATGTAATACTATGCAGCTGTTCAAAAGGATATTACAAAAGAATACTCAAGGGCTTAGAAAATGTTTATTGTATAATATAATCACTGAGAAAAGCAAGTAAAATACAAAGCAACAACTAACTTTAATTACAATTATACCTGCATGTCTATATACATGAATAGATGACTAATACACATACACAAAAAACCCTGTGGTTACTGCTGGGCTTTTTGGACCCTTTACAACGTTTCAAATTTTCTAAAATCCTTATCTATTACTTTTTAACATAAAAGTAAATTATGCTTAATTTGATATTTGAGATCAAAAAAATTGTAAGGAATTACATCACAGGAACCATTGATTTTCTGTAGCTATACACACAATTCCAAGCTGTTTTCATGCAAATCAGGATACCTACTGAGATTTTAATAGTCCTGGCAAAGCTTAACCAGAGTAAATTTTTTTTCTTTTCTTCACCCTCAGATTTCTCTTTACGCTTATTTCTCCAAGAAAAACGACCAGAGTAAATCTTAACCAATTTATCTGTGGATGCCTGTGATTCTGCTATGAGACTTATTTTTAAGATTTTGAATAGCTTTTACAATTTCAGAAAAGTTGTAAAAATAGTTCAGAGGTCAATTGGGAAGACGGTAGAGTAGGAGGTATCAGAAATCTGTCTCCCCACATAGACAATAACTGCACTGGTAAAATCTGTCTGGTGTAACTATTTTGGAACTCTGGAGCCTATTGAAGGCTTGCAACTTTCAGGGGAACGCTTGGATAGCATACAGGTTGGGCATCCCTTATCCAAAATGCTTAAAACCAGAAGTGTTTCAGATTTTGAATTTTTTTGAATTTCAGAATATTTGTATTATACTTACCAGTTGAGCATCCCTAATAAGGAAATCTGAAACTCTAAATGCTCCAATTAGTATTTCCTTTGAGCGTAATGTTGGCACTCAGAAAATTTCAAATTTTGGAGCATTTCAGATTTCAAATATTTGGATTAGGGATGCTCAACCTGTATTATGGTTAATTTCAGTCAATTTCAGTTCTCAGCATAGTGGCAGCCACTCTTGGTGCCCCATGGCAGGCAGCTGTACAGTGTTCCTGGAGCAGCTTGTACATGTGTTCCTGGCCATAATTTTTGTAGGCCAGAGTGGGCAATAATAAACATAGGGGATATGTGTTCTCATCACTGAGTGCTGCTTCTATTAATAACAGAGGAGTAGCCAGAAGTGGCAGGCATTGCTGCATCTATACCATTGTTGCAAGCCCCTCCTGGCCTGGCTGAAATGACACCCACGGGATTAAAGAGCCAGTGCCTTTTTTCCCTTCTTCATTTTTTTCTTTTCCCCTATTTTGGAATCAGACATAAAAAAATACTACACTCAAAAGCAACGACAGATACAGGAGAAATTAGAAAATCAGCACACAGAGGGAAAGGTGCAGGCTCAGAAAAGTTTGAGAAGTTTGTACCTCAGATTAATCCTTTGCACAGAGATAGCCTACAACAATCAAAAAACAGAAACACAAAACCACAACCAAACCCTGGGAGGAGATGATTTCCAGAGTTACCACATTACTAGATGAAATGTCCAGTTTTCCACAAAAAAAGTCACCAGGCATGTAAAGAAACAGAAAAGTATAGCCCATTCAAAGGAAAAAAATAAACAGAAATTGTCCCTGAAAATGACTTGATGGCTGATCTATTAGACAAAGACTTTAAAACAACTGTCTTAAAGATGCTCAAAGAGCTAAGTATGTGCAGATAGTAAAAAACAATGTATGAACAAAATGGAAATATCAATAAAGAGAAAACTTAAAAACCAAAAAGAAATCCTATAGCTGAAAAGTACAGTAACTAAAACGAAAAGCTCTCTAGAGGGGTTTAAAGGCAGATTTGAGCCGGCAAAATAAAGAATAAGTGATCTTAAAGATTGGAAAATGAAAATTATTGAGTCTGAGGAACAAAGAGAAAAAAGACTAAAAAAAAAAAAAAAGCGAACAGAGCCTAAGGGACCTGTGGGGCACCATCAAGCGTAAGAACATATATGCTGTGGGAGTCTGAGAAGGAGAGAGAGAAAAAGGGCAGAGGGACTATTTGAAGAAACGAAGGCTGAAAACTTCCCAAATCTGATGAAAGACATATATATAAACATCTAAAAAATAGGTAGGAGGATCACTAGAGCCCGGGAGTCTGAAGCTATGTCCTCAGGGAAAAAAAGAAAAGAAAGTTTTTACTGTAGCCAGCAAACTATCCTTCAGAAATGAAGGAGAAATAGAAGGGATACTTTCCCAGACCAAAAAAAAAAAAAAAAAGGCTGAAGGAATTTATTGTTATCAGACTAGTCCTACAAGAGATACTAAAGGGAGCTGTTCAAAACCAAAAGGATGCTAATATGATTGCTATACTGATACTGTAATCATGATGTATAAACCACTTGTATCTTTTTTTAAGACAAAATGAAAAAAACTTAACCACAATTTTTAAGAGACAAGCAATATACATAATACAAATTGTGATTATCAAAAATTCAAAATGTGGGAAGAAAAGGAAATTGGTGTGTATAGGTTTTTTTCTTTGCAATTACAGTTAAGCTGTATCAGTTTAAAATAACTTGCTATAACTACAAAATGTGTTATGTAAGCCTTAGGGTAACCAAAAAGCAGAAACACTAAAAATAAAAAGCAATGAATTAAAACATACTACCAGAGAAAATAAAACACAGAGGAAGACAGGAAGAAAGAGTTATGAAACAACTAGAAAACAAGCAACAAAATGGCAGTAGTAAGTTCTTACCTATCAACAACAACATTGTAAGCGGACAGAATTCTATTAGCACCTCAAAGAACTAGAAAGTGAGAGCAAACCAAACCCAGAATTAGTAGGGGGAAAGACATAATAAAGATCAGAGAAGAAATAAAATTAAAACTAAAAATAAAAAGATCACTGAAACAAAAAAGTTATTTTTTAAAAAAAGGTAAACAGAACATACAAACTATTACTTAGATTAAGAAAATAAGATAGAATACCCAAATAAATAAAATCAGAAACTAAAATAAAACATTATAACTGAAACGACAGAAATAAAAAGGATCGTTAGAGACTAGTATGGTAACTATACAGCAATAAATTGGAAAACCCCAAAGAAACAGATACATTCCTGGACATCCAACCTATTGAGACTGGACCATGAAGAAACAGAAAACTTGAACAAGTAAATAATGAATGACAAGATCAAAACAGTAATAAAGTCTTCCGACAAAAAAAAAAGCCCAGGTCCTGATGGCTTCACCACTAAATTCTAAACAACATTAAAGAATAATACCAATTCTAATCAACCTATTCCAAAAAATTGAAGGGGAGGAGATACTTCCAAACTCATTCCACAAGGCCAGTATTGCCTTGATGCCAAAACCAAAGACAACAAAAGAAGCTATGGGCCAACACCCCTGATGAACAGAGATGTAAAAATCCTCAACAAAATATTAGCAACTGAATTCAACAACATACTAAAAATATCATTCATCATGACCAAGTGGGATTCATACCAGGGATGCAAGGATGGTTCATCATATGCAAATCAATAAATGTGATAAATCACATCAAGAGAATCAAGGACAAAAACCTATTATTTCATTAGATGCTGAAAAAAGCAGTAAAACTGAACATTCCTTCACAAAAAGTCCCAACAAATTGGGTATAGAAGGAATATATCTCAAAACAATAAAACTCATATATGACAAACCCACAGCTAACATACTGAATGGGGAAAAATTGAAAGCCTTTTTACAAGGATCTGGAAGAAGACAAGGATGCTCACTTTTACCATTTCTATTCAATATAGCTCTAAAAGTACTAGCCAGAGCAATCAGGCAAGTGAAAAAAATAAAGTGCATCAAAATGGGAAAGGAAGAAGTCAAATTGTCCTTGTTTGTAGATGACATGATCTTATATTTAGGAAAACCTAGTGTCATTTAAAAAAACCCTCTTAGAACTGATAAATTTAGTAAAGTTGCAGGATACAAAATCAACAAACACTCATCATTAGTATTTCTATATGATAATAGTTATTCGTCTAAAAAGGAAATCAGGAAAGCAATCTCATTTACTACAGTTAGAAATGCTGCACTCTGAGCTTGCACCACTGAACTCCAGTCTGGGTGACGGAGTGATACTTTCTCTCAAAAAAAATGAAAGCAAATGGAAGGGAGAAAGGGAGAAAAAAGAAGAAAACGGGAGAAAGGGGAAAGGGGAAAGGAAAAAGGGGAAAGGGGAAAGGAAAAAGGGGAAAGGGGAAAGGGGAAGGGGAAGCGGAAGCGGAAGGGAACGGAAGGAACACTTACCACTGGATGTTTGGAAAATGCTAATTTGGAAAACTAGAAAGTACAGAAAACTATACTGTCATGATCCCAAGATCATCACTCATAACAACTAAGCACATTTTATATCATCTTGATATCTCATTTTTAAAAAATTTAAAAAGTTAAACATGATTGCATAAGCATTTTCCCACATCTTTAAGAATTCTCCATAAATCTAACTGCAACAGATACTTCTTATTTCAGAGACATAATATGCGATACATTCATAATACACTATTGCTGGACATTTATGTGGTGGCTAATTTTCTTCAATAAGGCTTTGAGACACACACACACGCACGCGTGCACGCACACATGCACAAAATAGTTCAAAGGTCCCATATACCCTGTGCCCAGCTTTTCTTAACGTTAACATCTTACATAACCATAGCAAAATCATCAAAATTAAGAATTTAACATTGATACAATACTATTAACTAAAATAAACTACAGGAGTTTAAAAAGAACTAGCTTAAACCAAAATTATTATAATATAATGCTTTAGAGGAGGGTATGTAAAACACTATAGTACTTATTATGATAGAAACAAGAGAGTAAAAGGTGGGCCTATTAGAACAGAAAAATATATATATTGGGAAGACAAAGATGGAGGCTGCCTTTGCTTTTTTTTTTTTTTTGCTTTGTGTTGCACACCCAAGTAAAGAGGAAAGGAGAAAATTTTGAATAATGATGACAAAAATAATAAAAATAATTATTACTTATTTAATAGACTGGAATTTAAAAACATTAACACTTTATATGGAAAGGATAATATGTTCAGGTCAATTTAAAGCAAACTGTCCATATACTTAATATTTGTTTTATGATACCTACCTTAAAAATTAAAATACTTTCTACAGTAATGCTTCGACTATGAGAATAATTCAAGGCAATATCAACATGTCTAAACATATAAATTCCAAGAAGAGGATTTCCTAGTATCTTCAATGTAGATGCTCTGGTACTTATTCCATTCTGATATATCTGGGCTACATCACTCTGCGGAAGTGCTAAAAAGCAGAAATGTTCTTCAAGTTCTCTGCAATGTCTTCCACTTTCACGCATCTCTGACCTAATGTAAAACAAACAATGTATACAGTTAAAGATAAGTATCAACAAAATTTTCAAGAAGATACGTATTTCCACTGACCATAGTTAGAAAGTAAGAGAAGTTTTGATATTCAGAGGTATTACTATACTGTGATGATAAATTAGGTTGAAAAATCATCTTAGAAACAAATTCAGGATTACTTATCCAAGATTTATGAACATTATCATCATCCCTGGTCTAAAATAACAGCGGCTAACATTTCTTAAATGCTGCTAGTGTAACCAGTACAAAGTCTTAAACTTTACATGCATCTTCTCATTTCATTCTCAACCTCCCAAGTTTTTATAGTTTATTTTGTTGCTATCGACATTTTTAAGATGAGGAAAATAGGTTCAGAAAGTTAAATCTTGCCAAAGTAGGAAAATGACAAAGGAGTTGGAATTATATACGCCAATTCTTGTCTGTCAGGTTCCAGAGCTCACATTTTTGTTAATTGTGTTATGGAGGGAAGAACATACATTTTCTAAACAAAATACCTTGTCTACATCTATGTATCTCTACACATCTATAGACACAAACACACACACATATGCACACACATAGTCAATTATTAGGGACATTCTCCATTCTTCAGGGATTTAGGTAACAGCTGGGAGAAACAAGCTAATATTTGATTACAGGATCTTATCTTAGGTAAAGAAAATTACGAATCAACCTCAGAAAAGACTATAATCTGAAGTATAGAAAGCCCCAATTCTACTACTTCCACTACAAGACCCATTTAAACATATAAAATATATATCCCTTCCCTAAAATTGGCAGATTAGATATTCTATATGGCTTGCTCAGGAGTAGTGGCAGCAGAAATTGCCACACCAGGTGGTACAATAGAGTGGTTCAGACACTAGGGTCCAAATGATTATCTGCAATGGAGAATCTACAGAACCTAGCAAAGGAATGTATATACCACAAAAGGCAAATTGTTCTTGAGAACCACAAGGTTCCAAGATTTATTTCCTGGAATACCAGTTACAGAATTTGTTTAAAGTATACCATGCACATAAGTATTAATAAGTATATTAATACTTACTTTCAAGAATGACTCATCATTAACAGTAGGCAGGACCACAAAAGCAAGACTGATTGATTAGATAATGATCATTTCTATTTCTTGGAAATGTCAGCCTTAACTCTTGGCTCCACAAATTGGCATTTCCTGCTCTTGATTTCAACTTGACATCAGTCAATTCTGTGAACCACTAAGATTACTGTCTAAGATTCTTACACTACACATAAAAGTAACATTTGAAGGTACACCAGAATAAATTAAAGATGTATAATGTAAACCCTACAGCAGGGTTTTTCCACAGTGGCACCAGGGTATTTTGGGCCAAATTCTTTTTTTTTTTTTAACCTGGTCATCTCCCTGACTACCATTATATCATCATAAGGGTTTCAGTGGAATGAAACAAATGTAACAATAAAAATCTGATCCAGGGCCACAAAATCCTCTGTAAATTGAAGTAGAAAATATTCCCTGGAGTTTTGTATTGGTAATTATACTACTAATACTTTTTATTTTTCAGTGTGTCTTCAGAATTATATTTGGAAAAAAAAGGGCCTGAATATGTTAGTAAAAAAAATGACCCATAGAAAAGTTAGTTTTTGATCTATTTCTGCCTCTAAAAATTTCATAAAAGGTTGGCTTTCCAAATTTATTCAGAAATGATCTAAATCACGACTTTAAATGACAGAAACTCTGAGTCTCAAGACTTCCATTTCAGAAACAATAGGTAAAATGAGCCTAAAGACTCTTTTCTGTGCACAGTAACATGTAATTGAAACTGTGTCCCCAAGAAATAAAGAAACCATTGACTAGTAGAAATTCTTGGCCGGGCGCGGTGGCTCAAGCCTGTAATCCCAGCACTTTGGGAGGCCGAGGCGGGCGGATCACAAGGTCAGGAGATCGAGACCACAGTGAAACCCCGTCTCTACTAAAAATACAAAAAATTAGCCGGGCGCGGTGGCGGGCGCCTATAGTCCTAGCTACTCAGGAGGCTGAGGCAGGAGAATGGCGTGAACCCAGGAGGCGGAGCTTGCAGTGAGCCGAGATCACGCCACTGCACTCCAGCCTGGGCAACAGCGTGAGACTCCGTCTCAGAAAAAAAAAAAAAAAAAAAAAAAAAAAAGAAATTCTTAAGCTTGCAGGATGGCATATAAGAAACCTTACTGAAATACTCAAATTCCCTCCGCTTGTAACAATACTGGCTGAAATCATTTGGAACCAATATGGCCAAACGAAGTTTATACAGAATGAGCTTGCTGACATCACAGCCTGAATTTCCACTGTGTGTTTTATACTAACTCTCCCCAAATTTGCACATGGTACCCATAAGGAGGCATAAAGAGACAACTGTGCATGCCCAAGGACTTTCTACACCTCCCTTTCCTTCCACCAATCACCTAAAGATCCTAGAATCCACCCCCAAACCATTTCTAATAAAATTACTGCTTTGAAGCTAGCATGGGGAGACAGATTTGGGCTTGACCTCCTGTCTCCTTGTGAGTCTACCTGCAATAATAGCTTTTCTTTTCTCAAAAACCCAGTATGCCAGTACTGACTTCTAGTGCATCAGGCAGGGAGCTTCACCTGCCTGATAAATAACTGGGTAAGAATCTGAAGAACTAGCAAATACAAAGTTCTCTTTTACCAAAAGACATTAATAAGCATCAGAATCTGTGCTAATATTCATATTATCTTAAATTTTAAAAATATATAAAATAATTTTCTAGAAATGTTTCCTCATGTTTTTCTGCAGCAATACTAATGAGGGATAGATGTCAAAGTCTGTCACCTCTGAACCCTGCATGTACTTTAAGCTCTGGGGTGGAAAGCTCAAAATCAACACAACACTCAAGTCTTAGAATTTGTAGTTACACTCTTGCTTGTGGGTTTTTAATTTTGGTCATTACTTTTTAACTGATATTTTATTAAATATTAAGTAAATAAACATAAAAGACAGATGAGAAAACTCATATGATAGAGAAGCTGAGTGGATGAAATAGAATTGGAATCTTGTATATCTTTCTGTAGACCAGGAACTCTTAATTTACTCTGTGCTAACATGCTGTCTCATTTAAGCCAACTACAAAAAAGTATAAGTGCTTTGGATGGAATGCCTATGTCATAGTTAATTACATCATTTAGAATAGGTTCCAAGACAACCTACATATAGTAGGTAATTTTTTGTTCAGTAAATGAAACTCTGGGAAGTATTTTATCTCTAAGTTTAAGTGGAAACACAAGTTCATACGAGGTATTTAGCTATGGGGTGGCGGTTGCCTAAAGTAGAGATTAAAAGTATTCAAGTAAGTTTTTTTTTTTATAATAAAGAAAATAAAATTATTTCTTTGGAGATCTTTAAAGAGAACTTAATAATTTTCAAATCCATCAGATTGCTAGTGATAAGAACTCAGTATCCAGCTGGCCCAAAGTACAATATAAGAACCAAAACGCTGACAGCTAAGAGAAATTGGGATTCCACAATATTTAAGAATGTGCTAATGCCACCCAACTCCAGATATAAGACTTTGTTTCCTTTGCTGTTATGACAAATTCTCACAAACTTAATAGATTAAAAAGCATAAATTTATTATTTTAGTTACATAGAGAAGTCAGACATGACTCTCACTGGGCTAAAATCAAGGTGTCATCTGTCTGGATTGTGTTCCTTTCTGAGGTTCTAGGGGAGGATCTCTTTCCAAGCTGGCAGAATTGAATTACCAGCAGTTGTAGGATTGAGGTCTCCATTTCCTTGCTGGCTGTTAGCTAAGGACATTTCCCAGCTTCTAGAAGTTATCCACAATCCTTGGCTCATAATCTCCTTTTTTCATCTTCAAAGCCAGAAAAGGCAAGCTGAGTCTCCCTCATATCTCTTTTTTCTTTCATTTCTGCTCTCTGATCCATTCTTCTGCCTCCCTCTTCTGTTATTAAAAGCTCCTGTGATTAAACTGGGCCCACTAAGATCACCTCGGATACTCACCCATCTCCAGGTCTGTAACCTCAATCACACCTGCAAAGTCCTTTCTGCCATGTAAGGATGTAAGGTGATATATTCACAGTTTCTGGGGATTAGGATGTGGACATCTTTGGGGGAGTATTATGCTGCTCACCACAGGCAGATTCTGAACTTGGCCCCTCAGTGATATGAGGAACTTGTTTTTCCCCACAACTCTCCCTCTGCTGTGCAGAGCTTTATCTTTATCCATATCCAGCTCCCATCATGGTCGCAAGAAGGAAGCTGGTAGCAACTAGGCTTCCTTGCTCACAGCCACCAGAAGAGGATTTCCAAGCAAGTCTTATCCTATGTTTATTTAAATATAATGACTATTGCCGGGCGCAGGGGCTCACGCCTGTAATCCCAGCACTTTGGAAGGCTGAGGTGGGGGGATCACGAGGTCAGGAGATCAAGATCATCTTGATCTTGATCTTCATCAAGATGGTGAAACCCTGTTTCCACTAAAAATACCAAAAGTTAGCCGGGCGTAGTGGCAGGCACCTGTAGTCCCAGCTACTTGAGAGGCTGAGGCAGGAGAATGGCCTGAACCAGGTAGGCAGAGCTCGCAGTGAGCCGAGATAGCGCCACGACACTCCAGCCTGGGCTCCAGCCTGGGCGACAGAGCGAGACTCTGTGTCAAAAAAAAAAAAAAAAGAAAAAAAAAGAAAAAAAAAATGACTAGGCTTGTACATCAATAAACTCACAAAGCAAGGGGAACTGGACAAAAAATGGTTAGGCTAATTATAAAAGATGAACTAGAATTGTTAGGAAAACTGCAGTCTACTCATTTGGCTACCCTTTTTCCTACATACCCTACTTCTAACACATATACTTTCAAAAGTGCTCATTTACACAAAGTACTTTCAATCTACCTCACAAGGAGGGAACAACCCAAAGTCTCATTGAATTACTACATCCAACTCCAGATCCATGATGATCACATGGATGAAATGCCTTCGTTTCCAACAGATCTGGATATAGACCTAAATAATCAAAATTCATTTAGGTGACATATGGCTAAGTTTAAATTATCTAAACCCAAAATGTAATGGTGGAGGAAAAAAAACAACTGAATTCTAAAAAGTAAAGAATGCTAACAATTGTCAGTATTAACTTGTCCTTGGCATATATATCCTTCTGTAAAGAAGCAGCTGGGATTCCTTGCTCTCAAAATTCCAAAGGCTAGTAACCATAGCAGGAGATCTTGTTCAGACAATGGTTGAGACTAAGAATGTCTGTCTCTTGGCAACAAGTCTCTGGGACCTCTCCATCATCCAAGGCCCACAATCTATAATGAACTTCATGTACTGAATTTCAATTTGAAACCATCAATTTCCACCCCCAGATTGCATTTAAAATACAGTCATGTGCCATAATAGACATTTTTGTTAATGGCAAACCAAAAATACAATGGTGGTCCCATAAGATTATAATGGAGCTGAAAAATTCCTATTGCCTAGTGATATCTTAGTCTCATAATGTCATAGCGTAACGCATTACTTTCATGTCTGTGGTGATGGTTGTGCACTGCCAGTCCTATAAAAGTATAGCATGTATGATTATGTACAATACACAATACTTGATAATAATAAGTGACTATGTTGTTGGTTTATGTATTTAGTATACTATACTTTTTATTATTATTTTAGAGTATAGTATCTCTTCTTATTAAAACAAATTAATCGTAAGACAGCCTCAGGCTGGTCCTTCAGGAAGTATTCCTGAAGAAGGCATTGTTATCACAGAAGATGACAGCTCCATGCATGTTACTGCATCTGAAGACCTTCCAGTGGGACAGATGCGGAGGTGGAAGTCAATGATATTGATGATCCTGATCCTGTGTAGGTTTAAGCTCATGTGTGTGTTTGTGTCTTAAGTTTTTTAATAAAGAGTTCTAAAAGTTAAAAAAAATAAAAAAATAGAAAAACGTGTATAGAATAAGGATAAAAATATTTTGTACAGTTGCACAATGTATTTGTGTTTTAAGCTAAATGTTATTTAAAAAAGGGTAAAAAAGGGTCAAAAAATTAAACTTTTAAAGTTTATAAAGTAAAAATATTACAGTAAGCTAAGGTTTATTATTGAGAAAATCAAAAAAATACATTTAGTGTAGCCTAAGTGCACAGTATTTATAACGTCTACAGCAGTAACAGGCTATACCATACAGCTCAGGTGTATAAGTAGGCTACACCATCTAGGTTTGTGTAAGTCCACTCTATGATGTTCACACAATGACAAAATTGCCCAATGATGCATTTCTCACAACATATTCCTGTCATTAAGCAACGTGTATCTTTACTGTATAAACTTGAGGTAGTTCCACTTACTAGGCAGAAAATACTCAAAAGGAGGTATTTTCTCCAAATAGGAGAAAGGAGGTATTCGGGAAAGAGTTCAGGCAACAGATTTGTGCTTTACCACATCCTTATCCCCTGTTAAATCTCATTTCTTTTAAACCCATATTCACCCTAACTTTGGAAAGGATTAATTCTCTACTTCAAGCTAATCTTGCAAAGCTGAACTGTGAAACTAGGCCACAAACAGAGTGACTCTTTTTTATTGAATCTGAATTTTCTATGATTGAACAAATGATCTTTCTTGGGTCTAAACGGGAAATGGTGAAGGCACTCTAATATGCTGAGCTTTCGGTAGAATTTTTCTCAAAAACTACAGCCTCATGAAACACAGGTTCTGTGCCCCAAGGTACAGATTATCACCAACTTCCCATTTGGGAATTCTGCAGTGGGGCGGAGAGGGGGATCTTCATTGCCCTCTTCCCTTGAACTAAATCCATATTTTAGAATGTCTTTCCTACAAGTACCCCTTTCCCAGTACCAAATTCAGCTCCAGTTGGGTTATTGTTGACTTCAAGTACAGAAACCCGTTCAAATTGGCTTGTGTTGCCAGACTCAGTTTTGCACTTTGAACACAAAACAAGATAAAACTCAAAATATACTAGGAGAATGAGACACAAATCAATATATTGTAGTAAGTACCATAAAATGAGTGTAAATAACTATGGGAAACAAACGAGTTTTTGTCTAACTGGGCAAACAGCCAGGAAAACAATAAATCCTATACACGTTGGTCATTTACAATGTTCTAACATGCCCTGTCTATCACTGGGTACTTGTTCTAACTTTTCCGTAACACTAACAGGGAGAAATAACTGGTTTGAAAGGACAAAAATTTTAATGTCCAAAATAAGCAAAACCAAAGAACAGTGTCAGGAATTCATTTTGGATCAAACTGTTTTTCAACTTGGAAGTCACTGGATATACCTAGCCCTTTTTACCCACAAAGCTGTGTTTTTTAGAGGAAAGGCAACATGCCACAACAACTTTTTTTTTTTTTTTTGAGATGGAGTTTCATTCTTGTTGCCCAGGCTGGAGTGCAATAGCGCGATCTCGGCTCACCACAACCTCCGCCTCCCAAGTTCAAGCGATTCTCCTGCCTCGGCCTCCCTAGTAGCTGGGATTACAGATGCCCGCCACCACGCCCGGCTAATTTTTTGTACTTTTAGTAGAGATGGGGTTTCTCCATGTTGGTCAGGCTGGTCTCGAACTCCCGACCTCAGGTGATCCGGCCGCCTCAGCCTCCCAAAGTGCTGGGATTATAGGCATGAGCCACCATGCCCGGCTAACAAATTCTATCATTCCCATTAATTGCAAATCTCCAAACTGACACCAAGTGTGGCAGCATGTTTGAGTCAAGAGGAATCAATTCTAAAATAAACAAGTTGAAACATTCCAAAACGAGTTCCACATGTAGGTCTATCAAGCTCTAGTTAGGTTTTAAGTTAAACAGTGAGAAATGGCAACGGAGACAAGTTAGAAGAAAATAAAGAAACGCTAAATTGTGCTCAAACAAAATCTATACCTATAAATAAAAAATGCTTACAATGAAAACTTTGCATATGATTTTATTCTTATGAAAATGACAATAATATGCTTTCCAAAGAAGCTGGAGAAGTACTTTAAAAAACTGTGGGAGAAATAGCACCAACATAGAAAGGACAGTTCTAGTGGAATAGCTGGAAACAGTCGGCTACAATCCTCCTAAATTAAAACAAAACATCAACCCAGTCTCTTAAGGGCTGGGTTCAAGAGTAAAAAGGAGTTACTTTTTGATTACTTCGACTGCTGTTTTACATTATCTAGGAGGTGTGAGGGATCTACAAACTGGCTGCTTAACAAAGGTGCTGATGCATGTTTCTGAAAAATTTATCAAGGTTAGAAAATTGGAAGGGGGTGTCTGAAATCTCACTACATTAATACATAAAACTAATCAAATCTCACACTTAGCTTTCAATGTTACAAAAGACTATGAAAATGTAACAAAAAATAATCTGTTTTCTTAGTAACAACTTACTAAATCTCAAATGGTAGAAATAAATTAGCATAAAACTCCACAGTAAGAAACACAACAAAATCTCAAACACGTTTAGATCATAGTAACTTACCTCTTAGTAGTAAAATTTTTTTCCAGCTCCTCATTGTGAACCAGTTTTGTATCCCCAAACTGCCATAATGACTGCAGATCACAGCTTACATCAAGCCTGCACTGGTTAAGAGTATCATGTATAAAACTATACTCTCTACTATTGGTGTAACAAGGTGACAAGTAAACTAAAGGTAGAAAAAGAGAAAGCAGTTGTTTGCATTTAAAATGACATTACTGGACATCTGTACAATGACAACTGTATCTCTAAGACACAAAATAACCAAGTACTGAATTTTCATTAACAACGTAAGGCAACAATTGATATTTAAGGTTCTACAACAGTAATATACACCTCCTATACTTTATATAAATGAAAATATGAACCATGATTTTCTCCACATACTTATTAAGAGTTCTTAAAAGTTGACACATAAAAATATGACAGCTCCAGAATATTCAACTTAGGATGTTGCAACTCTGACTCTACAATGCACATCATTATACAAACCTGGCAGCTACTGTTAGTGCATGAATGTTTGACAAGTAATGATAAGGCAAACTACACATTAGAAAACGATTGGGTATTTTGATTTGCAAAAGTACAAGAACATGTGTGTAAGATGTTGCCTGATATAGTGGCATGTGAAAGAGGAAACAGACTTTCTTAGGACAATGAGCGTCTCCAGCATTGTTGTAAATAGATGCATAAAAGGATAAAATCCTAATCCTACGGAAGTGAACTCAGAGGAAAGCAGGGAGCAAATACAATTGACTCTTGTCATTTGTGGTAGTTATATTCTATAAAGTTCCCATCAACACTGAGTCACAAACATTGTGTCACAAACTACTGTTCTTGGGGGAAAGGAAAGGGTTAACTTACTGTGGGCATCTGGTCAACTTTTTTCCCCCCTCTTAGAGACAGGATCTTGCTCTTAGCCCAGGCTGGAGTGTAGTAGTATGATCATTTCTCACTGTAACCTCTAACTCCTGGGCTCCAGCAACCCTCCTGCCTTGGCTTCCTGCGTAGCTGGGACTACAGCAGGCACAGGCCCAACATGCCCAGCTAGTTTTTCTTTTATTTTTTGTAGAGATGGGGTCGCTATGTTGTCCAAGCTGGTCTCAAATTCCTGGGCTCAAGCGATCCTCTTCAACCTTGGCCTCCCAAAGTGCTGGGATTACAGGCAAGAGTCACTGTGCTGATCCTGGTCAAATTTTTGACCACCAAAATGCCATTTGCATTATGTAGATTCTGCCAACATCTTTATAAAACAAACCAATCTAATCAGTTTTGAAAACTTGTTCTTCCATTTTCCGATGTGACATTTAGCTGGTTATTTTAAAACATTCTTCCTTAACATCCTGATCTGCAGAACCCATCTGCCTGCAAGCTCAACATTTTTCATGTTGCATCTATCACCTTTTGAAATGTTTGAGTCAAATAGCACTAGCTAAGAAGAGTTTAACTTTTCCCTGACTCTGGGTAATGTGACCTAAGTTCCTCTGGCTTTTAAGTTCGCAACAATGCTGCCCACTATGCTTTTTTTTATTAGCCATAATGAAATCTCATTAATCTATAAATTTAGCTGCTTTTCTATCTTTCCCAGAGTTTCATCAGGCACTATAGATGTTACCTTAGCACTTTTTGGTGAGGCCTGATGTACAGATTGGCAAGTTTCTTCCTCCTCTCCCTGGAAGTACATTAACATTGAACTCAGGCCTGAGTGAAGCTTACCTAAAATGCGTTTCTCTGTAAGGCATATCATAACCTTCTTGACCTTAGGAACACTAGACCACACTTCAGCATTACACTTGGAGACCATTTAAAGTAGTGAAATCACCAACAAAGATGTTAACAATTGATATGGTTTGGCTGTGTCCCTACCCAGATCTCATTTTATAGTTCCCAAAGCCCAGTGGGAGGTAACTGAATCATGGGGGTAGTTACCTCCATGCTGTTCTTGAGATAGTGAGTTCTCATGAGATCTGCTGGTTTTATAAGGGGCCTTGCCCTTCTTGCTCAGCTCTTCTTTCTCCTGACTCCATGTGAAGAAGGACATGCTTGCTTCCCCTTCTGCCATGATTGTAAGTTTCCTAAGGCCTCCCCAGCCATGGGCAACTGTGAGTCAATTAAATCTCTCTCTTTTATTTCAAAAAAAAAAAAAAAATAGGACTAATACAACAATGTAGCACCATCACTAGGAAAAGAACACTTATTGCAGTATGAGAGCTGAAACAACAAGGCAAAGCATGGCCTCATTTGACCTTAGATGAGAATGCATGCATTGGGTGACTCAAATTCTTGACCCCAATGTGCATGTCTGTGAAAACATTGCTGAGTATCAAGTTCGGACAAAAAAGCACTGCTGAGTATCACGCTCGGACAAAAAAGCACTGCTGACTGTTGATTGTGAATTTCAACAAGTAGGAAATTCACAAACATGGAATCCTCAAATAATGAAGACTCACTATATAGAAGGTTTAAGGCAATTTCCGTATAAATGAACCTAATTAACAATTCGCCCCTTAAATTTACCTTATCAATCAACAGAAGTTAACATAATGACAAAACCAATATAAAATACTATAACCAGCTGATTTCAGTAACAACTCATTCCTCATTCCCATTTTTAATTCTATTGACCCCCAAAATGATTTTCATTTTAATATTTGTAATAATCACTACAAATTTTAATAGTTTTGTAATATATGATGTACAAATTTTGATAGTTTCATCACATATGATGATTTTGTGGATGTGTAACTTTTTATTTTGAAATGAATATAGATTCACAGGAAGTTGCAGAAACAGTATACAGAGGTCTTGTGTACCCTTAACCCAGTTTCCTCCAGTGGAAACATGCAACTATAATCCAATATCAAAACAAGGAAAATGACACTGGTACAAGCCACAGACCTTATTAAGACTGTACCAACCAGTTTTACACCCACTTGTGTGTGTAGTTCTATGCAATTTTATCACATGTAGATTTGTGTAACAATCACTCTAAGATACAGAACTGCTCTACCACCAGAGACATCCCTGTGTCACTCCTTTATATATTTTTTCATGCTGAAACTCTCGCACACCCCCATTCTCCTACCCTGTCCCTAAATCCTGAAAATTATTAATCTCTTCTCCGTATGCATACTTTTGTCATTTCTAGAATGTTTGTAAATGAAATTTTGTAGTATGAGACCTGTAGAGATTGCATTTTTTTTTTCTTAGCATACTGCCTCTGAGATTCAGCCAAGTTGTTGTATGAATAGATTGTTTCTTTTTATTGCTAAGTAGTATACCATCATATGAATGTGCCATCATTTGTTTAACCACTTACTCATTAGAAATTTGGGTGGTTGTCAGTTTCTGGTTATCACAAATTAAGCTGCTATGTACATTCATGTATAGGTTTTTGTGTGAACATCATTTTTTGTTTGCCAGGGAAAAATGCCCAAGAGAAGGATGGCTGGATCATATGGAAGCTGCATGCTTATTTATTTTTGAGACGGAGTTTCATTCTTGTTGCCCAGGCTGGAGTGCAAGGGCGCGATCTCGGCTCACCACAACCTCCGCCTCCAGGGTTCAAGCGATTCTCCTGCCTCAGCCCATGAGTAGGTAGGATTACAGGCATGCGCCACTGTGCCTGGCTAATTTTTGTATTTTTTTAGTCGAGATGGGGTTTCTCCATGTTGGTCAGGCTGGTCTTGAACTCTCGACCTCAGTTGATCCACCTGCCTCGGCCTCCCAAAGTGCTGGGAATACAGGCGTGAGCTACTGTGCCTGGCCTGCATGCTTACTTATTTTTTTAAAGATTGGGTCTTGCTATATTGCTCAGGATGGCCTTGAACTCCTGGGCTCAAGCAATCCTCCTGCCTTGGCTTCCTGAGTAGCTGGAACTACAAGCACATGCCACTGTGCATGGCTGCATGTTCAGTTTTTAAAGATGATGCCAAATTGTTTTCCGGAGCGGCTGTGCTATCTTACATTCCCTAATGGCAATACATGAGTGAGTTGGTGTCTCCCATCCTCACCAGCATTTGGCACTGTTATTGTTTTCTTTTTCAGCTGTTCTAACAAGTGTATAGTTACATCTCATTGTGGTTTTCATATGCATTTCTTTAATGGCTATGATTAGCCATTAAACATCTTTTGATAAGCCCATTCATGATGTCATTATGTTGAGTCTTTTAATCCATGAACACACTACATCTTTCCATTTATTTAGATTTCTTTTAAAAACATCACTGTTTTATAGTTTGCAGCATAGAAACCTTACACATTTTGTTATATTTGTACCTAAGTATTTCATTTTAAAGTTATTATATTTTATTTTGAGATACAGTCTTGCTCTGTCACCCAGGCTGGAATGCAGTGGTGTGAGCTCAGCTCATTGCAACCTCCGCCTCCTGGGTTCAAAGGATTCTCATGCCTCAGCCTCCCAAGTAGCTGGGATTATCGGCACCCGCCACCACGCCTGGCTAATTTTTTTCTATTTTTAGTAGAGACGGGGTTTTGCCATGTTGGCCAGGCTGGTCTCAAACTCCTGACCTCAGGTGATTCACCTCCCTCGGCCTCCCAAAGTGCTGGGATTACAGGTGCAAGCCACCATGCCCGGCTGCCTAAAGTTATTTTAAATGGTATTTTAAAAATTGTTTATTTCCATGTGTTCTTTGCTAGTATTTAAAAATACAGTTGACTTATGAACAATATGGGTTTGAACAGTGTGGGACAACTTATACTTGGATTTTCTTCCACCTCTGCTACTCCTTAAGACTGCATGACCAACCCCTCCTCTTCCTTAGCCTACTCAATGAGAAGATGATGAAGAAGACCTTTATGGTGATCCACTTACATTTAAGCAATAGTAAACATATTTTCTCTTCCTTATGATTTTCTTAGTAACATTTTCTCTACTGTACTTATTGTAAAAATACAGTAGTATATAATACAGATATAAAATTATGTGTTAATCGACTTCATGTTATCAGTAAGGCTTTCAGTCAACAGTAGGCTATTTGTATTAAAAGTTAAGTTCTGGGGGAGTGACTTATATGCAGATTTTTCTGCTATGTGTTTTGGGGAGGGGTCGGGGGCCGGATCAGTGCCCCACTGGGTTGTTTAAGAGTCAAATGAACAATTGTTTTTTTCTGTTTTCATCGTATCCAGTGACCTTGCTGAACTTACTAG